TTATTGATCAACAATGGCTGCTAAGGGCCATTCTAATGAATTTCAAGAGAAGCATCAAAGAAGTGAACCAATTGCTCAAACATATAATACATTCAATATGAGCATACATATAATATATAATTCCAGCATAATATGACACCTTTGAGGAATTGGATATCATCTCTAGGTGCTTTTTCAACACATTAATAATCAATATCATATGATTATGATAACCTTGAGGATCCTAATAGATCTCAATTGGATTTTATACTAATTAATAATTAAATAAGGAACTATTAATAATAATAGTTTACAGTTATTCGGTTTTTAACATTGGAGTTTACTACCAATTGTTAGCCATTATATATATATATATATATATATATACATTTATAAAATTCAAAACACAGCAAGAAATAAATATAATAATTGTACTATCAGAGTTAAGTACTATTTTCACTGAGCTTCACAGCTAATCATGAGATAGCATCTAAAATGTCTTTAATATGTAATATTATGAAATATAACATGTTATGTAGCTTGTATCAGTTTATGTCAACAATATACTGTGTCTATCTATATTAATATGCTTTATTAATTCATTAATAAACACATATCAAAGTATCAACCAATATAATATATATATGACAGTATCTCAATTTGGGACTATAACCACAATCAAGACATATACCTGGACTATGCCTGTGATTGTCATTTATCTGAAATGGGATCATCAAACATATATGTGTACCTATGTAAAGAAATAATAACAATTCTTCAATTCAATTCACGTAGAACAAACACACAAAACTGAACAGTAAGTTTGACTAATTTACTGTGAATTAGCAACAAACTCAGCAATACCATTACACTGTTTATATGTATAACATGGTATGTGTTCTCATGTTCAACCTGTATGTCAACATAGTTAATGTAACTGTTTCTAATCTGTTGATATCCTATCATACTCTATCATAGGCATTAATAACATAACAATAGTTACTCTGTATTTTAAACTAATTAGATATCCATGTTGTTTTATACTTAATGTATTCATAATACTTCTTTCTTAGGTATATTGTATATCTCAATATCGTGCTACATGTCATGTCATTACTCTCGCAAGTTATCGTACATACTAAATCTATTTAATATGTAGAAAGCAATTCATCCAAAAGTTCAATAAAACAAGTGAGATACTGCGTTTAATGGTATGCGTGTTATTAACGTAAACTCACTTACCACAACTTCTAGTCAGAATTACCTTACGGTCGAATTTGTAGGCGGGATTGGTACCGCTTCTGAACTTTTAAAATCACTAGTATCCTGACGACTTAGGCGTAATACCGGTTAGTCAGGGAGAGAAACACCTCAATGCCTACAATATTCACAATTACCTATCTCTTATTTGTTTTTATAATAATATAAACACTTCAACTTTTTCGCTCCAAAACTCCCGCTGCTTACGTTCAATCATCCGTCATCCACTTGTCAATGTCACATAGATTACTTTGGCTCTGGCCTCTGACGTTCCGTTTCAGGTTACATGATTATTGACTTTACCATTTTTAATTAATGGTGCGTCACACGATAGTTTGAACACTTAAAAATCAGGAGAAATTTTTAATTTCACTGGTTATAGAACTTTTGAAAAATATTTTACACGTTCTGACAAGGATTTGTATATGTAAAAAAGTTCAGCTGGTTACTACTGTTTGTCTGCGAAGTGGTGTCAACAAAGCGATCAAAGACCTTATTGAACGATAGCCAAGATCGATTAACAGAATAGGTCGGACAAAATACGAGGAGAGTAAGATAAATAGCGTCGATAGAGAAATGACACAATAAAAAAAAATGTTAAAAAGATATATCTTGACTCTAGAGGGATTAGAATGAAGAAAGGGACATATGTAATAAAAAGGGCGATGATTTAAAAGTAAACTTCAATTAAAACAGGCACCAAAAACGACACACAAAACTTTTAACCAGTAGATACATTAGTATAGTAAATTTAAGTTACATTTGATATTTTATTAATTAATATGGATCTATTACTAAGTATTATTATTGGTTGTGTTTGAGGCATTACATCAGTTAAACCATATTGCAGTATCTTTTGAAGACTATTAATTATTAAAGAAACCGATGAATTATTTCCATCGAACTATCTGAAAGTTCATTCTATGAAAGGCATCATTGATTTCCATCATTGGATTATGATTCCAATACCTTATAGAAAAGCTTGGTCCATGCTTAAATTAGTTTACCTTTATGCATCGCATAAAGGTAAACTAATTTTATATCCAATTGTAATAATCAAAACCTTACATCAAATTATAGAATAGATAATAATAGGTCAATGATATAAGAAAATGATGCTTCATTGATACCTGGACATAAACTGAGTAAAAATTAGTATCTACGATTAAATTGCGAACCTTCCTTTTTAATGGATGATAATCGAAACGATTTAAAAGTTTAAGTTTTGAGATAACTGTCCTTATCTCAAAACTTAGTCGTTTATAAAGGGAATTCGAAATTTCCTAAAAAATAACAATTAATAACGTCTAGTCATCTGACTGTAATTTAAAAGTGTTAATGTACAGACGAGTCTAATTAACTGCAGCATAATTTCTTGTAATGTTTGTGATATCGATAAAAGATATTTCCATGTCTTCTCTCCGTTATAAAAATGAGGTCAGATTGCGTACCCGACGGCAGCTGTCGAATGTGGAGTGACCGATACTAATCCCAGAATACATCGGCATGAAGAGACAACGCTGTCGATGATCCCAATAATCTCAGATTATGAATATTTGAAGTCGTTCTAGATAATTTCTAGAGTTCTTTTTGATTGGATCATTAAACGTTATTTTAAGAAAGTCGTTGAAATTAAGAGCCAAGTTCGTTTATGTTTAAATCTGATACTGGTGAGTATCTACCGGTATTAGTGTATTGCGTGTAAGTCAACCTTTGATGTGTCAGTCATGCATTACGCAAATTTCACGCAATGCTATGTAAATACCTACTAATGATTATATAGAGCATTTGTGATCATGAAATAAATTTACTCTCATTGTTTCCATTTCTTTTCAATTCCCATATTGAAGTAAGAAGTGACTAGGGAAATAAAGCAGAATACACCAGGTCAAGAGTAAAAAAAAAGCCAAATAAAATCGTATACTACGTCATCTGACCAACATGGTAATAGAATGATGCTATGAGTATTACGAGAACACTCATACTTTACTATAAGATACCTATTAAAGTATGGTAGAGGTTGTGTCTAGATAATGCGTAAATTATCCACCGACACTAATTTATCCACCGATGTGATGTATTACGATTCCAGCATCCGTTGTTTACACCGGCAGATACATGTGAGTATAATTGACTGTTTTGGAGCGCGTACCCTGGTGACGATGAGTGGCGTGGCAAGGTCCGAGCCGCCCACGAGCCTGAGCCCCCAGTTGGTGTCGCGGCTCTCCCGCCGCAGCGTCACCACAAACGTATGCAGCCGACCCATGTCAAGGAAGTGGGGTCCGATGCACAGGCGCGGGCGCGCGCGCTCGATTCGCGGACTAGTGCGCACTACAGCAATACGCGACGTTGTGCGCGCAAAATTAGCCTCACCTCAAACTCCTTACCCTCCCCCGCCTCCCTTGGATCTGCACCGTATGCATATTACCCTGCCTTTGCAATCGACCTAATTTGCAGGAAACCGAGGGTAATTGATGGCCGAATAGATTTCCAGTATCTCCAGCAACAGATGCGCGAGACGCTCATGTTTATTTACATAATAACGTTTGAAGACCGAACGCATAAGACGTGACCTATATACATTACTTTTCAGTTTACTTTTTAGTTTTATTAGAAATGGGTGGGAGCAAATTGTTAGGTAATTATAAGTAACATAGATTTAAGTAAAAAAATATATTTATGTATTTTTATTAATTACATTTTTTCATGTTTTCTGCAATATCTGATAATTTAATTTGTTTAACTTGTGTACAAATATATACCCATTAAAACATCAAAAATGAGCAATTTATATGAGTAGTATTAAATGTGTATACCAAGTACAACCAATCAGGTACAAGGTACAACCTGTACCGTAATAGATAAACAGGGTTTATGGCATAGGGCTCGACGCGTGAAATATTGGTTGCACATGTTCCTCAGCTGCGTTGGAAGGCACCATAGGGCGGGTCCTATACGTATTTGATAACAAACTTTGTTTTATATGTAAAATAACTATCAAATCAGACAAAAAGTATTTAAACAATCTATGCTGACATAATACTATAAAGATAGAGAAAAAGCGGTTTTTGTTATCAGGAAAGTAATCTCCGGAATCATAACACCGATTTAAGATATTCTTTAACTGTTAGTAAGGTACGTTGTTCCAGAGTTATCTTAGCTTTCTGTTATTTTTATATACATAAAATTTGTAAAGTTATGTACGACTAGATGAAGAAGGGGCTGGCTTGCCCCTGCTTAATTTTTTTTTTATTTGAATAAAATCTCTCATGTTGCATGTACCAGCCTGCCACCCCCGGGGCGGGCGGGTCAACCTGACTATATACTATCACATGTTAATTTAGAGTTATGTAGAGTGGTAACTCTGTAAATGCCTAAATTAAATTTATTAAATATGGTTCACACAGAGCTATTCGGTGTAGATACGTATTTTTAGGCAAACATCCAAGGGTTAGAAAAGTAAGTAAAAATTATAAAAATCTAAGCTGTCGTGTATATGAAGTAAAACATTCTAATTACAATATAATACAGTTGTATTATATTATAGGTCTATATTCAGCAGTGGCCTGTGACTGATTAAGATGTTGATGTTACCGTTCAACTAGTTACTCTAAATGCAACTTACCTACATATAAACAGGAAAAAAATAAATAGGCAATTTGATAATATAGGTAAAAATATGCAGTTCTAATTCATAATGGAATGGGTAAGGATTGGCAATACATAGATAAATAAAAGAAACAAATTAACAAAATTCTTACCCGTGTCCGTTGTCCGAAGTCTCTAGGTTCATCGCCGGGGTCACGTCTCTGGTGGGGAACGCGCCAAAACGGAGGCCTCTGATACAATGGCATCTTGAACACGTCTTCTTACACTATACCACTAAATATAAAATAAACAATTGTTATATCAATATAACAAATTGGAACTACAAATAATAATAGAAAAGACTCCGAACGTCATCGAGTTTCTTCCAAAACTGAGAAACATTGTTGAAAATCTTTCTCAGTTGTACATCCGTTCTAATTTTAGCGATAACTTTCAATTAAAACCAGAGCCAAGGCGATAATCCAATGCGGGTTGAGTAATAATATCTACCGATAAATTAGTCTTTCTGCATAGTCTAGTCGATATATATTTCTGGATAAAACTTTGTTAAGTTATATGGTTCTTTGTAAATACATGTAAAATAGTGTTCCTAACTGGAATTATCATGATCTGTAGGGAAATGTCGAATACTATAATGTCGTATAAGTTTAAAGAGATTGATATCATATGGTTAATCATAAATCAAATGAAAAACACGAAACGACGGAAACAGTGGAAAACCGGCGCCACGTGTAAATATCCGGAGTGGGGGCCTTGTCGTAGCATGTTGTGCTATCTGCTAACTCACCAGAGGGCGCGGTGCGTGTTACTTGCTCGACGTCGCTCTAACAGTGCCGCTTTCTATTATCTTAAATTATTCCCGGCTACATAAAACTATATCTATTTTTTGCTTCAGGATAGCAGCGAACGGGCCGTCGGTTCGACGGGTTGTGCTTACAGTGATTTACAAGTCGGCAGCTAGTCGGGCTGTTTCTGGGGCAATCCGAAATTCGCAACAATTCGTTCGGTTCAAATCTCGTTCTCAACACGATCGTAGTTCGTTGCTCCCGAAATGACTGTTATTATGACGTACCTACAATGAAAGGTTTATAGAGTTGAAACTTATTTGTTGTGTCCGGGACGTCGATTGCACACTTATATAAAATATATATGAGTTGCTAATTGATAACATGAAATGTCGAACCATCAGATAGGAAATTAATTGCTATAATTTATATTACCCAATATATAGATTTAAGTATTCTATATTATTTCGATTGTGTAATTTCATTTGAACAGAGCTAAGAGTTAAGTTTGTTGTTAGTTCATTTGGATTCAAACTACATTTTGAACTGAAATATATTTCAGTTATCATATTATGTGCCTATTACTGCCTATACATAATAGACAGGCATAAATTAATAAATATATTTTGCTTTGATTAGGTATAAATTTGAAACTGAGTAGAAATACCATTGCTAGCAATGTATCACGTCAAGTTGACTTCATTGAGGTCCTTCCTAAAAACCATTGTTGATAATTCCTATAGAATTTGTCACGATGATCCTGGCATCCATTTCATCTTGCCATCCTCTCCTTGATTCCGCCAGCATATACATATTAGGTGAAGGCACCATATATTAAAAAAATAGGCATTAAGTATACTTAACTAAATTACCTATAACTCATATTACGGTTAACATTATGTGATTTCATTCAATCGTTAAATTATAAAATGAAACACAATAAATGTAAAATGAAATACGTTCTATGCGAAAGATATAAACGAATTAAATTCTTAAGTAGATAATTCTAATCATAACTTCTTGTACCAAACATCATAGAAATACTTAAATACATTTTTTGTAATATATATATACCTATATAACATCCAGATCAATACAAACAATCACATTCATGAATACAAACGTTTGTATTGTGCGAGGAATTGAACCCGTAACTATCTAAAGTAAGGCGGTGTTCTAAACCGCTGGACCACCGAAGCCTCCTGAAATCTTAGTAATATTCCATAAACTAAGATCTACATAATAAAATCTTCATAATAAATAATTTATTACCTTTAGATGGCGTGAAAATAGATTGTATCACAAGCATGCACATATAAAGTCGTGGGTAGCGGTATATTATTATAACTATATTCAGTTCAAAATAAATAAAAATTCGATTAAACATAATGTATTCGAAGAATCGTTTTAATATTACAGCAAAATTATAGTATAAAAATAACAAAAATTGCGCATACCGTATACAATTACAGCTAGAGCACACTTTACACTTTAAAATTTACTTATTAATATGCAAATCTATTATTGTGATGACATTAAGATTAGCATAGCATGGCAACACATATTAAAATATACGAATGAACATAACAATACGAAATGTGTTTTAATATATATTATTATATTATATTATACATCATTTGTATTCGTAGACAATTTTCTATAAGAAATATGCATATATTTTTTACAGTAATGAGGTTTTATTCTGCAGTATAATTACAATATCGATTTCATACTACTCAAGTTTTATGTTATTTTTTAGAAACGTAATAATTTCTAAGCTTAATAAATACCTACATAACAATGTCCATTTCTATTTTCAGTGAACTCTAAAATTACAAAATTAATACGTTGCTAGTGCTACACATTCATTTGGTTCGTGTCTTTCACATTTTCATTTACTCTATTTAAGATTAAATAAAAATTCTAAAAGCGCAAACCAAAATCATTGAATCGGATTAAGTTTCTAAAGTACACCGACTGGCGAAGCATTGGACATCTTTCCTTCTGTTACGTATGAAATGTATTTTGTTTTTAATTATTTTATGTATAAGATCATATAATGAGAAAGGAGGGTATGTGAGAAAAGTATTTTTATATTGGATCCATCTTTTTAAAAGAAATGCATTAATGTCATAGTTATTTCATTATTAACATTACATTGCTATTCTCCTTCCGTTACCCTCGCACCTTCTATAAATGAATCATTATTATAATTATAGAAAAACCCCTAGTAAACAAACTTAAAAGCTTTTATAATAACGGTACAAGTGGTATTTGTCTGTCGGCACCATTTTAACAGACGCGCCGGCATGCGCAATTCATTTACAAAATAAACAATTCATCACAAAATTGCCTGACTAGAAGAATGAGAAATTTTACTTATATTTTAGAAAAATGAAACGTTTCATATCCAGTACGCTATTGACTGGATTGGCAACTGTTAGTGTTTTGTTGTTAGTTAATAATTTAATGAGTGCACATGTTTTATATGAAAATCATATTTCTTGCTATTTTATTATTCATAGTTTCGGCTTAGAATATTTATTTGTTTCATTATATTACCCAGAAATTAACTGATGTAATTATATTCGCAACAATAAAATACATATTTTGTAGATTCATCTATCTTGTATCAAAATAATTATTAAAAAGTTGTCTGCTTTAGATAAATTTATATTTGTGACATGTTTAGACGAAAAGTTATTATTTTTAAGATATTTTATTATATTAATATAATTTTTCTCTTTAAATTTATTAAACGTAATAATAAATTGCGAAGTCCCAAAGAAAATTTTACAAGTTATATAAATCATAAGTGTATATTATATTCTTCAGTATTACGTATAATGTTTCTACAACATTATTTTACAAAAGAAAACTACATTAATAAGAAAAAAATACAAGTGAGAATGTGTTTGTTGCATTAACAACTTTTGTCATATAATATATTTTTTAGATATTAATCCTTCATATGTAATGTACATAAAGGAATTAATCTATAAATCTCGTGTAATTTTAGGCATAAAGGTCAATAGTAATTAATTTAAAGGTAACAGTTTTGCTGAAAAAGCACGAAACGAATCGGTTTGATTCGTGCGAGAAGCCAAGCGTATAAATTAGAATATTTAACACATTAGTAGGTTAGAGCTTAATATATAACTGACTATGTTATACATAAAATAACATATAATAATCATTATAAAAAGTAATAACAATAGTGAAATTTATACATAAAGATTATATAACAATTAAAATAGATAATATTCGATTTATAGATTACAGTGTTAAAGTTTTAATTATTATTACTCTAATAAAACATTTTTTAGAAGTCTAATATGGCTGGCTTTGTATCCCGGGCACACTTGATGAGTGAGTGCATTAGTTTCACAAAACCGGTATCTTTCGGTTTTTCCAACCCGCGGAGGAGTCGATTCTTCATAACGGCTACGAATTCTCTATTGCTTAGTTGCCCATCCACTGTAAGAATATTAAAATAGTTAACTACACCTGAATATTTTGCCTATTCACATGTAAGTTATCTGACTCGAATAAAAAATACGCTTTTATACCTAATGACAAAGTGCAGTTTTGTTTATATAGAAACAACTTAAAAAATAAAAAAAGTATGAACCTATCTTATACAAAATCAATAGAAATACACTTGCAGTACTCGCACAGAGTCCATGCTGATCTTAACTGAATTATGTTAATTGAAATTAAATGCTAAGGAGGACGTAGCAAATGATAACGTAAAAAATGGACTCTATTACGTCTTTATCTCTATCTATTTCGTACCTATATGCAGATGAATATATATGTGTCTAATATATCCATAAGCCAGTTAAATATTATTAACTATACTTGCAACCAATCTGCGCTTTACACGTGTCTACAGTGTATGTAACGAAGGTAGATAATTATATGCATGTATTATATAATAAACCTTCAGGAAGAAATTCTCAAAATTACAGAAACGAAACCAATATCAAAATTTGTTGTATTGTACAGAAGAAAGAAGACGAGGAACATAGAAGAAAACAGAGATTTCGAGTTATACTATTTTAGATGATAGCTGTACTGGAACTTACTGTTCTCGTCGAATATGGTGAATACCACATTGATGACGTGTGGATCCAAGTCCACGTGTGCCACTGTCTTCGCAACGTGTCGCAGCGTCGGCTGGTCGATGGACGCGCCGGCAATGTGGTAGAACGTCAAAGCAGTGTCCACGTCGTTTATATTATTCAGCAAGTGGAAGAATTTGAGGTAATCATCTTTTGTTATACCAACGCCGTGATCACGGAAACTGAAATACAAATATGTACAAAATACAAATTTCATTAATTACCTCATTGCTATTTTTGTTAAGGAGTTCTAATACCCCTATTAGAACTCTCTCATCTATAAATTACGTCAAATGTTAAGGGTAGGAAGTCGACAAAGTATGAAATTGTAAAATAAGGTTTGTGAATCACAAAGTTTGTGTAAAGAATCTAGGATACAGGAGGAAAGATCTAAGAATCTATTTAATTCATTTTTAGGATTTATACACAAAACATCATGTTATAATGGTTAATATTGACACTGTGACTCTTTATGGCATTTGAGTAAAATTTGAATAGGATAGTACTTGGTGTTAATAAAATTATGTTTTTTTTATATTAAAATTTGAGCGCGTTCGACCGTAATCTTACCTGATGTTTAGTGATGATGTGGTCTAAGACATTTTTAGACAATTTTTATCTGTTAAACTAAGTAATAAAAGCCTTATTAATACTAATAAAATTTTAACGAATTAAAAAGTAAAAAGTAGTATGCCTAGGGCTGGGTCTACTCAGGCCCACTTATTACAGCCGTCAAGAAACTTGCTTTGAAAGTTGGTTGTATATAGTACTGTTGCCATACTTATATATATATATATATATATATACAAGTTACCATAATACGACTTACGATGGTGGTCCGTCAGTTTGATGATTATTCCAATTACATAAAAAAATTAAAATTAATTATAAATATTACTACTAATTAATTCTGAGTACCAATTATATCATAAACCAAATTTCTTGTATTTAGCATAATAATAATAACTGTAAAATATATACCTTAAATAAATAATCATTAATTTATATGTATTAGTTCAGTGTTATTTGCATTAAAGTTTTATTTATATTATTAACCGGAGCTTAAAAATAACTATTAAAATATTAGATATAAAAATACAGATATTATTAGTATATAATATAATACGGATAATAGACAATAAAGTCGGTCAATTTAAGTTATTGCCCTGTACTGACTAATTCTAGTCAGTAAAATATAAGTTACTATTGTAAAAAAAAATTACTTGTGAATGTAATGTTATTCGAATATAAATAATGTACTCACGCTTTTTTAACTCGTTTGAGCATTCTAGCTTTCTTTTTTGCGGGATAGCCTGCATATGCCAATAATAATTCAGCAAAATCTGCTTCCGTAATACGTCCATTTTCATCTGAAAATCAAAGCAATCTTTACAAAAGGAGACAGAGTCATCTAAATGGTTATATCTGTTTATGTACTTGGTCAGCTATTATTTGTAGCGTAGGTAGGTTATGACATGGTAATTATTGGGTACTGTTGTATTTCTTAGTATTTATACAGTGCCGTACAGGGGACTCAATTAAATGAATCGAGTGTATATTATTGAATTCTATACATACACGCAACTTTTGCTTCATCCACGTTAATTACTCGTGCTTACACAACCTTCAGCAAAAATTATATTAGAAACTGAGCAAACAATTGTGTTCTTTATAATAAGATTAAAACAGTACACACCTGGTTGTTTTCTCTGGAATTCCAGCGATAAAATTTCCTTTTGCAATTGCTGTTGAAAATCTAAAAACTTCTCTATGGTCAATTTCTCGTTGAGTTTGGGACCAAAGAAATAAGTGGTCAGCGCAGAATTAATGCCCTGTAATAATATAATACGATCAGAATTTCTACAAATGTATGCCTTGTCTGTATATGTGTTAGAAAATAATTAATAAAATACCACTTTTGAGTAGTGGAAAGAATGAAATTTACGTCCTTAAGGATGACGCGCTTTGCAGTACAGTAGTAGGTATTACCAACTTAATTTATTGAAATTATTGTAAATAAATTATTGAAATAAACATATTTTCGTTAATGTTTCGATGTTATAAAAAAAAAAGTATTTCAATTGAGTTTCTTGCCAGTTCTTCTCAATTGGATCTATATACCGAACTGGACGGTAGGGGAAAAAATATATAATGTAAAACTTGACGTTCATAAGCGGCTAAAATGTCCTACATGAATAAATGATTTTTGAATTTGAATTTGAATATACTATAATATTTGAATGACTCTGGTTATATAAAATAAACGTACTTTAAAAGTATTCCCGGTGTTAGCGTGGTCGCGGTGTCGAGAGCCGATGCTGCTTTGTTGGCGAATAAGCGCTGCAACCTTCTCAAACTCTTCGCAGTCTACATCGCCGTCGCCATTGAGGTCAAACATACGAAACGCGATTTCGAAGTGACGGCGAGAGGCTGCAATATATCAATTAATCACTAATATAGTCTGGTACTGTATCATCAGGTGGGTCATGAGCTTGTTTTCCATTTCATTGACATAAAAAGTAGTAGGTTTGAAAGTATAAAAACAAATATTCAATTGAATTAGCTTAGTATCGTAATCTAAGATAATATCGATACTATGCCTAATTCAATTATTTATGTAAACGAAATGTAAAACAAGATATTGACCCACCTGATGGTAAGCAATAATCTTTGTCTGTATACATGAACAGCACTATGGATACTGATCACGTTAATGATATTCGTGATATCATTGATGCGTTGCCATAACAGACTACTAAGATGTCATGTCAATTATCCTGTAATTTCACTGCCTATTTTTAACTTATAACAGAAATACAGCTTAGTTTACAATCTACTTCTGATAGTCCCCTACATAAAAATAGAACATGGTCAGATCTATCCTGCTAAACAATATGACAAGTGAAGTGAACTTTTGATTACATGAAGAATAGAAATACATACATACTGTTAAAATCAAAATATCGTGCGTGTATTAAGGACGTACAGACTCGGTACGAGAAACTACTACTTATTCTTAATGTCAATTAAGACGGATTAATTTGGACTGATCATTTAAACAAGATGCTAAATTACTAATTGTTTACTATATCTATGTATACTATATGTCTCTATAGGTAATTCCTAAACACGCACGCTACATATTGGACAAAATAGGTAGGTATGCGTTATTTACGTTGTTCAAAATGACGTTTAAGTTGCTGCCATAAAACCGCAGCATTGATTTTTAGATAAATATTAATTTGTACTGGTAAATAGAACCTTAACACGTTAAAAAAATATATATTTTTTACTTCCGAAAATTCACTCATTATGTAATTAGGTTTAAAATAGAACACATTATATTTCGTAGTATGTAAACCCGTTTAGTACTTGCTTAAGGATAGCAAACAGGAATTTGTCTACTTGAAAGTATGTTTACTTATTTATTTTTATATGCTGAGATATCAACGAATAGACATATAAATAAATAAAACGTATAAACACATATTCAGTTCCAAACTAAGCGTAGCTTATATATTGGAGTAGGTAGTTAGGTAGGTCATAGATATTTTGTACATAGATACATTGGAAATACATACAGACATACTCAAAATATCATAAATCAATCTTCATTATCCATTTAATAGTCAACGCGTGATCCCAGTAACGGTAAACAATCGACTACTTCAGTGAAATGTAAAACAAGTTCAGTATCGGGATACGTCTCGTACGGACGGGATCACAAAATCATTACATTCGCTCATGCCCCGTGCAGACTTCCCCATCCCAGCCGGATGCTGCGTGCATGCGATCGCAACTACATCCATTCATCTATACCATGGTGTTATCTCAACAATATTCTATCATATAATAATAAACAAACTCGAAGTTATCTATTTTTCTTCATAAAATTTAAATTAAATATCCATACCACATGACGCGGCAAAATGTTATCTGTGAAACGGTTGCGTATGAAAATGAAAACAAAAGCGTTCCATTACTTGAGATGTGGAGCCAAGACTGTGACTTTCCTATTTTGGGCGACATTGTATATGGTGGTCATGAAAATGACAATATTCAAGAGCAATGTCACCGCACCGGTTGCGAGGGACTGGTCGATAGTACCTGACAATTACACCAAGTGGCTGGTAAATAATTCATTCGTAAACAACAATAGTGTAATACAGATAAAGTACGAATATAGTTCTCTGTATTAATGAATAAGACACAGCACGCTGTATTTGTGTACTAAACATAAACAAAATCCATTTAGCATGATAGGGTTATTAAAAAAAATTACTAGAATAGATATATTACCTTTGCGACATGTAAGGTTATAATATATTAAAACCCTTTACAAGGTGCCTAAAGAGTTTTACAAAAAAAAAACTATTAAAATATTAATAAATATAATGAGGCTTAGTACGGATTAAAGAGCAATTATCAACGGCAATTTGGCAGTTCAATGCTGTTGAAATAAGATGCATGTGTATTAAGATTACTATTTAGAAGAATATTTTAAAAATATTATGCCATTTTCAGTTACAGGGTCCGGTTTTAGGAGACGAGGAACCAGAGATGTATCCGAACAACGTAGAGTGGACAGAGCCCGATAATGCAACGATAGTGGAATTGGAGAAACGAGCAGAAAGAGTACAAGACGTTTGTCGAAAGAGAACTATTAAATCTAAGTCAATTAATAGCAAAGAGTTTTTTGTGGATCATGCTCATAATCTAGTTTGGTGCAATATTTTTAAGGCCGCAAGTTCGTCATGGTTATATAAATTTAACATATTAGGTATGAACGTAATAATATCATATAGTTCAAAGTGTGAACAAAGCAAAATTTTAATCAATCTTATATGTACTTATCTTTTATTATAGGTGGTTACGAAAAAAAGTTTTTGGCACGTACTCGACAGACACCGCTTATGTTAGCACGTAAAAAGTTCCCAAGACCTAGTGAAGAGGAATTACGAGATGCGGTAAACACACCGGGTGTCATTTCTCTTCTGGTTGTACGTGAACCCTTTGTTCGACTGTTGTCAGCTTACAGAGATAAATTGGAAAACATTGCACCGCCGTATTACAGGAAATTGGCAAGGGCAATAGTAGCGGAAAATAGAGAAAAAGCAACAAAACTTTTCGGACCGATAAAAAGTTTTGGACCTACGTTTTATGAATTCGTAGCATACTTGACTAAAAAATTCAAGGATAGAGATAAATTATTTACTTTTGATGAACACTGGGCACCATATTATCAATTTTGCTCGCCGTGTGCAGTTAATTTCAGTGTAATTTCTAAAGTGGAGACTTTAACAAGAGATTCGGCGTATGTTATACAGCAACTTGGACTGGGCCACGTCTTGGGACGTAAAGTCAACGATAGAAGGACTCGACTTCGAACAGTTATGAATAAATCTAAAGATGGAAAAAATACAACCGCCTTAATGAAACGTTACTTCAGTCAGCTGGATGAGCGAATGCTTAATGATTTGTTGTTAATATATGGTATAGATTTTGAGATGTTTGGATATGATCCGAAAGTTTATAGACGTTATGTAAGAAAATAAATTCTATCTTATACATAGACTAGTTTATTATTAAAAAACATTGATTGTGGCTTCAACTGTTGATTTCCTAGATAGTACACAAAGAATGTATATTATATGATTTTTCGGCGATTGTTAACCTGTTTACTTATAAGCAATATCTTTATTACGATTGAAATCAAAATAACAACAATTTTAATATATACTACTATTTTAATATCTTATATATTATCGAATTATATATATTCGACTATACGTTCTTTGATATTATTTAATTTATTGATATTAATTTATTTTTATTCTTATTTTAAATTAGAGATATAATAATGATTAAAATGTATGGCAGAAGGTCATTACTGGAAAAAATATGTTCTTTTTGATGTACTGTTCAATTTACTTAACCTTAAGGATGTGACAGGGCGACACGACTGTGTACAAACCACTGCAGGGATTTGCAGGATATAGGTAGGTCTGTATCAGTTTTTTATAATAAAATGTCCTAAAGAATGATAATCCACGGGTATATGATGGCTGCGGTCTCTTTATGTTCGTGTAGACGACGGTATACAATTTTCCATTAGGTGAATAGTTCTCAGTTTTGACATTTCATACACAAAAAAAAAGTTCATAGAGAATGACGGAAAAGTTGAAATAAAGATGATAACTGAATTTTTAATACTTACTTGATAACACAGTCAGAAGAAAGATGTAATCACTAAATGTGATCAGTCCCGAGGATCCGAGTTTGTAAAAAATTGAATCCTCATCAAGATCTAAGTTGAGACGCTGACTGATGCTCTGCGTAGATAAAATAAAATCATATATTTTTTTAAACCATAAGTTCTAAGACAACAAGCTACAGAAATCTACGCACCCAAACAAAGCTAATTCATGATCCATCTAATGAAAAGTAGTCAGTCCCATAACTAAAATTTACTTAATACTATTGGAATGAAACCTAATTTGAAATAATGTAGCGCGGTCATTTGTTGCGCTGTGGAGACAATTATCTATCCCCTATTGTAAATGAAACAAGAAAAGCTAATGAAATTCGTCGTCATAATATTTTAAGACAAAGAAATTATGAGGTAGAAAATAAAGAAAGTTCAGAGGGCCATGCAATGAAATGAATGCGTTAAAATAAGGAGTTCTAAGCTAAACAATTCAAATTAATCTGGAATAGACTGAGTAAGATTAAAAGCAAAAAATGTTGCAATAAATATCAGGCAGACTACACATCGGTGGATTGTGGTTTCATCATTTATTAAAGTATCTAATGGTGTTTTCTAATATAGGCAATTGGTACCAATGAAGGTGGTTTGAGCGACAAGAACAAGGGATAACCAATTTAAAAATTGTGCATAGTAAAGAAAAGTATTACAAATTGAGAGTAGTAAAGATATAGGAAGAGATAGACAGTACCTCATCGATGTTCTGAAAAGACAAGAAAGTGGCGTGAGTGGCTTGAAGGAAGGTGCCAGTGCGAAAGTGTTTGATAGTAATTTAAAATTAAGCTTTAAGGGTTATTTCATAGTAGTTATGATTTTTTAAAAAAAATTTTTTTGACAGGAGAAAAAATAACATTTAAAAATATAAATTACGTAGCACAAAGGACAATTTTTCTACTTACTTTAAATAGTAATACCGATCGAAGTACTTATTTTGATATGAATTAATTTAGCAAAATAAATTACACATTGTTATTTGATAATATTTATAATTCACAATTCAGGCTATAAAGGGGAACCCTTTAAAAAAAGATAAACGTATCAAAGGGTATTCTTAGAATTACTTAAGATAAATAATCCGGGTATACATTATCTTAGTGTAACTCTAATGTTATTCTACGCACATCAAGGTACGAGTAATTCTAAGATTGAACAATTTTACTCAACTTTCTTGACCCTCGCCATTACGTTTCGGCGAAATTACACAGTATTTTTTAGTCAGATGTATAAGCTGTATTAAAGTAAAGTATCTTCAAAATCCGTTACGTAGTTTTTGCGTGAAAGAGCAACAAACATCATTCATCCAAGCATCCAAACAAACTTTCTTGTTTATAGTATTAGTTGGAAAAATATAAGCCATCAGATGTAGCTAAATGGTGCTCTTCTGACATAAAATACATTTTACATTTGAGATATAAAATATAATTCGTTGACCTATGGTACTTGAATGATTGCTGTACATAGATATAAATTAAGTTTACCTTCGGGTCATATCTTCGATACTGGTCAAGCCCCAAACCTGTTGATATAATTATTACTTTAGAATCTCTCATAAAAGTTTCATTATAATTCAGGATACTTTTTTTTGGTTTGGAATAAAAAAATAGTTAATACACATTAATGTTTTTTTTTATGTTAAAAAACAAACATATATTTATGAGATTTGACAATATAGGCTTTGTACATTTCTATGCAGACAATCCGAAGATAATCCTCGCATAGCTACTTACAATCTCAAGAAATTTCGTATAATATTGGTACCACAGAAATTAAGATACACTCATTATGGAAATTAAGAATGCTAATATATAAAAAATATTTTAAACTGTTCCGTATTATAATTCTAATTTATTAATCAATTAAGTAATCAATATTTTGATTTAAATTACCATCAGGTTGTTTTACACCAGGGGTCATTGAACGTAGAAAATCATCAGGTGTCATGAAAACTTCATGCTGATCATGGTGCTGTGCTTGGAGGGTGGCAAAGTACCGAAAAACTTTGTCGGGTGTAGAATATTGACGCATGCGATTTTCATATTCAATAATCTATCCAGCAGCATTAAAGACAAAAGAATTTTGTACATAAAAAAATTGTTCTTATAAAAAACTAATTTCTGGTATTTCGTTTTCAATTGTATAAAAACAAAGAAATTATGGGAATTATTACTATTAAAAATATCCTCATAAAAGAAAACTATTTTCTTGAAGTATTTTGTTTGCATTAAAATTAAGAATAAACTATTTTTGTCATATGACAAATATAGTTGTAGTAATATATTGTCATATAATTATATATATAATATAAATTGAAAAAAAATAATGTAAGAAGAAAATAAGTTTTAGAACTAAAATTATACTGCTAAAAATAATATCATAAAAAGTATGAAGGAAAGTATTCTCATCTGTAATTGCAACAAATCTTAAATCAATTGATAGCCTTGGTCATATGCTATCTCATAATAATTAAAATACATAGCATCCATTAGTTGCAATATTGTAACTTTCTACTAATTATTATAGTTCTATTTTACAGTTACAATGTCTTGTTTTATTAGTGTGCATGACATTATTATTATTGTTTTTATAGAAAAATGGCATGACACCATACTCTGAAACTTGTATATACAATTTTCAACGAGTTATATACCTCTACAAATATTACATGGAATAATATCTTTTTGTGACATAATTATCTATGTAATTATAAATATTGTTTATTATGTTGCTTTAATTTATCATCTATAAACAAATAGAAGTAAAATCATTACTTAAACCACAATTATGCCATCATTGTGTTATCATAACAGTATGCATGAATATAGAAAAAAAATAATAATAATACCATCAGGTTGTTTCATGCCAGGTGTAATAGCTCTTAAAAAGTCATCAGGAGTCATGAAAACCTCAGTGTTGTCTCCGAAAGATAATTTCACCGTTGCAAAATATCTAAATATTTTATCAGGTGTTGAATATGATCTCATACGATTTTCGTACTCTATAATCTGTGTCAAAATAAATCAGGAAACAAATATTAAATAAAATTATAACAATAATAATAAAAATAGCATTTATTCATCTTAATCTATCTTAAATTTTACTGTTTTGTATTATCACAATATATTAAATAATAAATAAATAATAAATAAGAATAAAATAAATATTGAAATAATCTTTAATTATTATATAGCTTTGTTAGTATTGAATAGATAGAAGATTTATGAGTTGGTTTTTCTATAAATGTATACTTAATAAGAATCAAAATAATTTTATTAATATTTTTTATATTCACTACAATGCACACTGGGACTATATTAATAATTGTGTTGCAGTAAACTGCAAAGGTGAAAATAAAGAAAATTGTGTCTCTGAAAAAATTAACAAAATTTTAAGTACATACTTAATAAAGAATGAAAAAATATATATTATTATCTTTATGCTTTAACTTTTATTACTAAGTAACTTTTATCCAAATTAATATTACAACACAATTTTCTGACGATTAACTTACCTTTCTGTCTCTAAAACCAATCTTTTCTCTCCTGTATCGTTTCTTTTTTGTATCAGCTTCGCTGTCAGAATCTGAATCTGTAATCTCTTCTGCTGCTGTTATAGATGGCAATATATGGGTCCTCAACCTAAAGACAAAATGGATTTAAAAATAAAAAATGCAGGAGTATGTAGTCAATGATCAATGATAATTAATATAAAATTTATATTCTTTACCAGATTTTGTAAGAAGTGTAAGATATTGCGCTGAAAAGAACTGCATAACATATGTACTTAGAAGAATATCGGCGAAGAGTTTCCGAATCGCGATGTCCACTCACATTACTAAAATTTCTATGAATTTTATTTGATTTACATGAGGTCAATAAAGCTATTCTATATGTATTTTGTAAAGACGAAAATGTTTTAAAGTTATTAATTTCTCTAGGTAATTGAAGAAGGCGATGTGTTATACAATACATGTTAGTAATTACGAAGTCACTTATATTTTGGCATTAATTTCTATAGCGAATTATTTATTAGCTAATTAGTAATGAGAACTCTAAAGGAAATTAAACAAGTAGATAAATATAAAAAATTAAAAATGAACATGTATTTTGTTTTTATTTTTATGCAGACGTGAACTGTCATTCCAAAACTTCATAGTGACAGTTACAGGTCAGTGAGAACTGCAGATACCCAAACGAATGTATCCACTATTTTTCACCATGAAAATACGGTTTTTAAATTTGGTTATGAATAACAATCAATTACATCCGTAGACAATATAGAATTATATAAAAACAACGAGGAGTTGAGTATATTCATGTAATGGTAAATTTTCGACTACTTACAAAAATATTTCATAATTCAATTCAAATCTAAGATTATGACCTATAAATCTTCATTACTGATAATGATTGATTTTAGAAATAAAACATATTATAGTAATAGTTTGTTATCAAGGTGGACAATGAAGAGATACTATTATTATAATTCCGACCACACCACTCTGTCAAAAGTGTGGACTAAAGAGAAGAAAATATATTTTAAGTTATATTTCAATTATCATGGTCATTTCACTTTATAATAATTCTAATCAATATAAATCTATCATTTATTCTTAATATCCATATCATAAATAGGTACAAAATAAATTCATGTCAGGATATAATAGAATAAATGAAGATTACTAGTATTTGTAATCAAATAGTATATATTAACATTATTTATACTATATATTACTGATTATATAAATATTTAACCAAAAAACTACAGTATCAAGGTCTAATTAGTTCCTCTGTGATTAAAATTTATTCGATATTGGTAGTAGAATTTGATATTGAAGTTGGCTACATTATTTTTTTTTTATATTAAATTTGGTTTGACGGCGCTCGTTCGATTTTCGGTTGAATAGTGTCAAAGGTAAATATTTTATGCTTCGAGATAAAATAATATGTGGTGAAATAGTCGCCTCAGTATAGAATTTCACGCGAATTAATGTAGTATTAAGTGTTACATAGTGCAACCGTTAGTATAAGTATTGTCCACAAAAGTGAGTTACATAACCTTGAATTCAATCACGAGATTTCAGTATTGATCAGTATTTTTTATTGTTGACTAAATTTATAGGATTAATATACAGGTATGTAAAAATGTATTTAATTCAGTAAAGAAATTTTCCAGTCTATTGAAATTTACGTAATGTATTCTAGTATTATTACAAATTATATAGAATTAATTTAATATAATTTTACCCGGGTCGTTATGTGTATTGTATCATTAGAAAGTAATTTTTATATTAGGCCCTGACATATTTTTATCTTTCTCCCTTTCAAATTTTTACAATCGATTCGGGCATTGACATATTACTTTCTACTTTCATATACTAAATTATGGTACTATGTCCCTATTATGATTATTTTAGTGTTATAAAACTCTTAATGGTAATATGTACTATGGATTGCATAGTATAGCAAAGTCAATTCTTTACATGTGTATTTAATTACAGTTTACATGGATATGCAAGTTGAAATAGATAATTTTATATGAAAATTAATAATGTGTAAAGAGGTCTATTAAAATTCATAACATGAAAATTGAATGTTTTAACTAATATTTACATTAGTAAATTTTTTTATTTTATTTAACATTTTTAATAGATCTGTGACCTTGAACTACATTGACATGTACCAGAATAGATTCCTTCTAAGCAAAATTGAAGAGGTGCCAGATTTATACATTATCAAATTAGTGTAGATAATACAGATGGTAATACTAAACATTAAAACCTAAAATTGAGGTGTAACCATGATCTTGTTATATAAAATAATGTTTTATTTATTTGCAATGGATCAAAAAATATTATATTATATAATAATAAATCTTAAAAGTGATCCAATCTTATCATACTTTAACAGAATTTCATGTGTGAACCAACACTCAATACCATGAGAATTGAAGTTAATTTAGTGTATCGAACTAAAAGCTGTAATTCAGCATCTAAGTACTTTAATGTATTATTTTTTTCTTATTTATTTTAGTTTAAAACAATTAAATATTTTTAGTTGACAGCCCAAATAGGTAAAAATAATTACACACACCACTGTTTAGGGCCACCTTATACACTTATAACTAAAATAATATAAATATATAGCAATAAACAATCAGTACTATTATAATATCATGATTATTTACCACTTGCCAGAAATTGCTGTATTTAATGTTATTCCAAATTACCAATATCAGTTTACCTACAAAGAGTAGATCAAATCCTTTTCATGTTCGATTTCAAATTACTTTACTTTTTGTTTGATCTTTGAAAGTCTTTATCTTAGACAAGACAAAAACAAAACATATTTTCAGGGTCAGGTCAGGCATAACTGTTTTGGATAGTACGGCTTGTGGTCTGCAATGATTGTTATGTTAAATATATATTATTGGTTTTTTATTGTTATCAATGCCAACATCCTACCTAAGGTTACTCTTTTTTAATTTGCAAGGGATTAAGAGCTCTGTCTTTTTTCAATACAACTTGAAACTGAATAAGTCTCTAAATACAAAAGTTATATATTGTTAGAAATTGATTATATATTTAAGTAGAAACTTCAGTTGACACAGAAAAAAGATTGTTTATTGTTTTTCATGAATTATTTACCAAATTATAATAAGAGCTGTAGTCCATAAACTACATATGTCATGTCTATAAGTTTGGTCCTAGCAGCCTGGATGCTAAAGATGTATTATGTGTACACATAAAAAAATTACATTTAGAAATGAGTTGCCACTGTATCATTCAATAAGCTATGCTTATGCCAATATATAGGCAAATGCTGATATCTCAGGCCTGTGCAAAATTCAATGAAATATAAAACAATATACAACATTAACTCAAATAATAGGGACAATAATTCCAGGTTCCCACAGCTTGCGACTTTCTCTATTCTCTTATTAATATGATACATTTCTTTAAAATTGTAATGCTGTTTTCTAAAAACATATGACTTCTAATTACTACATCTAATAAAATATTTGTTTGTTACTAGACCTGACACGCTTGGGTGCTGACACAGAAAAAGAGCAAATATGCATCGTGCACGGGTTGTACTTCAGGTGTCAAATAAAGTCGGAAATAGTGAGAGATTCGCATCATGGCTCCTCAACAAACCACAGGTAATAAAAATGTTGGGAAAGCAATTTTTTTTGTTTTAGTTTTTACAAATACAATTAATTAATTAGATACAGTATAACCTGGAATATACATATTTTATGAGTTAAGACAGTTACAGCTCATATGACATTTCAATAGAAGTTATTCAATTTTAAGACCCACTGAAAGTCTTTAAAGTCTGCCCCTGTGACATTGATATTTCTTTAAGAAGAGTGTTTTATCTCTGTATGTCTACATCTGATAACATTGACCATGTATACTTATCTTCCTACATGTTATTCCAAATTGATGTTTTTATTATCTTATCCATCAGTGCCTATATCAATCAAGTACAGTAGCCCAGGTGTTCTATGACCTTTTTAAATATCTTCTTTTTTTTCTTGTCCATCCACATGTTATAAGACATTAAGCATAAAATGCCTAAAGATTTGTCATTTTTTTAAATTGATAGAAATAAATCAATGGACTGCCTCAATCAAGTTTCTTAATTTGGTCCTATTTTTTGTGCATATTATGTCATATCTATGGTATGGTACATGTTATGGTATGGTATTATACAAAAACATTGTTATTATTATTAATAACAATAACAGTATTATCATGTCTTAAAACTACTGTATGATATTTTTTTATATAGGCAGGTACTATTTTTGTGTGTAGTAAATAAACATATTGTTTATACACCTTTTCTTTGTTATTTAGAATGCTGGTGTGGCAGTAACCGCCAATAGGTGGAAAAGTTCCACAGCGGCTGAACCCTTCCTCAATGGCTCCAGCTCAGCATATGTGGAGACCATGTACAACTCATGGCTCTCGGACCCTAACTCTGTGCATGCAGTAAGTAAACAAAATATTTTTAGTAAACCATATTAATATTTATAACAACACATTTTTATTCTATAAATTTACCGATAAAGGCTATAACAGAATAGCAGAGAGGGTGGACTCACTGCTCCCCTGAGTTGTAGGTTTTATCTCAATTAATACCTTTTAATTTTATTATAGACAGAATTTTGAAATTACTATGTATTAGCTGTACATGACTTCGTCCGCGTGGAATTTAACTTCTTATATTTTAGAAAAATAAAGTTAAATTCCACGCGGACGAAGTCGCGGGTGCAGCTAGTGTATAATATATTAGAGATACCTACGTGTTTTTTTTATTGATGATTATTTTTCTAAGTATCTTTTTACTTAGAAAAATAATATAATAATAATAATTTCTATAATAAAAGTAGGTCGGTCCAGCCATTTCAGAGATTAACCGGAACAAACAGACAGACAGACGGACAAAAAATTTTATTTTGGTGTATGTACCGTATTTATGTTCATATGCATGTAGTAAAAAACGGTTATTTCAATATTACAAACAAACACTCCAATTTTATTTATATGTATAGATATATAATTTCCATACAGTTTTGAATATAATGTGGCTGCCAATCTAACATATATTTAGGCTGATGGTAACTGGCCCCCATAGCTCATGAATGAATTCTTGAAAATCTTGTCTAGCAAATTAACACATAGCTGTTAATAAAAATACCATATTAACAAGAAACTTGCTAGTAGTATGTACAAAATTCATAAATATTTTCTAGTTATATATATATAATTATACATAACATATTATAATTGTTTTATACAATATGTTTTCTGATACCAGCCTTTTGAATTATCTTGAGTTATTATAATCTAGTAATATGAGTATCAGAGAATGACCTCGATATGAAAATAAATAGAATAATGTAATTATATTTTGTCTCCTATTGTTATCCATATAATTGCATTGTAAACGTAACTATAGTTGCCGTCACAAATAGATTATTTGTTTTACCAACCTATACCGCAGTTTCTCATGTTCAATTCAAGTACAGTTGACTTCATAAACATAATAATATTCCTATGTTTATATTTCTTCAACTTGGCATGTGGAAAACAATACAAATTACTGTGTACAAAGTTTATTTCGGTATATTATTTTTAACTTTTATATATTTTTAAATGGTTTCATAGTACAATATGCTTATTTTGAATGTTCAAATTAATTTGAATTTAATAAAATGACATTAATTAAACATCGCTGAAGTAGTTACATAAATACATAGTTTAATTCGATAGCTATTAACAGCTTTTATATTCTGATAGAGATTTGGTATATTCGCAATCCGCATCTGACATTTTAAAAAAGTTGCTGGAGATGAATGCGGTTGAATTATGATTTGTAGGTAATGTATAGAGTGGGATTTATTCCATTATTAAATAAAATGCAATAGAAAACACACGACGAGTGCACGAGCTCGCGGGCAAGTTTATGACGCGGCACTTTATTCACAGAACACCGGCATTACGTCAATGCAGCATATAGTAGTAGTCCTTATGGTAGAATATACCAAATACTACGTGGGCGTGGTTTGCGCCTCGGTTTTTTAGTTATGTCCTGTTATGTACGTAGTATTTAGTTATACCAATCTGCACCTCATTTTTACTGAACAATATTTTGAAATTATGTTAAAAGTTTACTTTTTCTAAATATTTTTCTATGTTATTCAGTTGTATATAACATCTATGTTCTCCGGAATGATAACGTAAAAGTTTTTATCAATAATTTACAGATTTTTCTTCTGCTTTTTTCTCTTATTTTTATGTAAAACATATATATATATATATATATATATTTCTTATTCTTTTGGACTCCTGTTCTTTACAGTAAAAATGTTATTTATCTTCATCTGAATGACTAGGAGATTTAGAATATCATCTCTTATTTGTTTAAACTTTGTTCAGTATTAAGATGTTGATGTCAGGAAAATCTGAAAACAATATCATATACCATGTTACATTTTCATGAACTTACATGAATGAATTTACATGAAAGTAACTAAACTGTAACCTTATTAGCACAATAAACATATTATTCATACATCATATTCATTCAGTTCTAATAAAATATAAAAATAATACTACTGTTTAGTTAGTACTTTATTTTGATTAATAATTTTCAGTATTTTCTCAATCAATCAATCAATCAATCAATCAATCAATCAATCAAAAATTATAAAATCAGTGTTAGTTTTCTTTTTTGAAGTTACATTCATAACAATAATAACAATAATAAAAACATAATAATAATAATACCACATTAAAGCGGTCACCAAGTATATGTTTATTATATTTTAATTTACACACGCATACATATGCAAGTTTTTAACAACTTATAGTTATACCTGGTATGAGATAATCCTCAAAGACACGATAGTTTACTAAATATTTGTAGTAGTCCTTAGACACATTTATGACAAATATATAAGAAGTTCAATGAACTCTGAACAGGAACAATTCAAAAGTTGAAGTACCTACTTAACTTAAATTTTTATTTATACCTACTATCATAGTTTATGAATGATTACTACAATATCTTTCATCAATGTCGGGTTCTTAGATACCTCTTGTTTATAATTGTTATAGGTTTCTTAAAGTCTCTTGTATATGACCTTGTTGCACTTAGTTACATAAATATAAATTGTTATAGAACCTGTCTCTCTCAATTCTCATTCATTAAATTACAATAAGTAGGTTTTTTTTTTTTTTTAATAGAAGAACTATGTCACTAATGTTTGACCGCGTGGAGGTTGATATAATAGAGTACACTTGTATCAAATATGCATTGCAATTCGTTCCAAATAAGAGTATAATATGATAATTGTTTATAATACCATCGAATAATGCGTTGTAATATCTTGTTATCGATTTCCGTTTGTGATACAAATATTTTGGAAACAATAAGCCCCAACAATGATTAAATTGTAAACAAAGTAAATTTGTTGCATTATTTCATTTTAACATCTATATAATTGGATCCGTTTTGTTGCACCTTAGTTACATACAGAAAGAAACTTTTCGAAATAACAAAGTAACCCCCTTTTTATTTTTAAGTTTGTTATTATAATTATTATAATGTTTGTATTGTAATACTCTTATTTCTTATTCATACTCATTTTTCTTATTCATTTTCTTCGTATTTGTATTGTTTTGTTTTTATTTTAGTTCACTAGGCTCACTAAAAATAAAATTAAGTAAAAAATTTTCGGCACTCAATGTCTATCGTAAAAATTACTTTTATTTGTATATTTATATGTTTTTATAACGACTGTTTGTTGCCAAAATAAAGAGAAAAAAAAAAAGAAAAAAAAATATTACAGTTTCTATGACGTTATTGGTTTGTGATAAACATTGATTTTTATCACGACATAAATGATAATCGCCAACGCAATTTGAAATCAACAGTCATATAGCGTATTTATCTAAAGTTTTCCTTAATGTTATAAAAACTAAAAGTCATTCCTTATAGAATATAATATTAGTTTAGATGTGTACTTAAATTGTGATATGTATTTTGAACATCTGTGCAAACATAATATTGTGTTCTGAATGTGCCCGCTACTTCCTGCAGAGTTGTTCTATGATCTACTTTTCTTTTTAAAATTATTATGTACTATTTATCAACTTTAACTTCTACTATTTATTATTCTTTGTGTCATTGCTAATTGTCGGACTTTTCGATTTCATGTTTTGTTTTCAACGAAACTGCTAAAAGGCGATATGAATGATATTTTTATGTGTACGTTTGACGATATCTTTATCAAAAACGTCACGCAATCTTATAAATTCTTCTGTTACCTCTTTAAACATTCTTGTTATCAATGCAAAGAACTTTAATGAAACATGGTGTATAAGTTTGGGTTAATACCAACCAACCTACACAGTTACTTCCGTTGAGTAATTTGTTCGTGATGAGATGACAAATAAACATAAATTCTATTATAGAAATGTGTAATTTATATTTCTTTGCTCATTGAGACGCTTTCTTATTTTCTCAGAAAATATAACTGAATGTAGAGTAGGCATTATGCTGTGGCTATTACACTTTCTCTATTTTATTACGGTTCCTACAAACTTCTTTACGTAGACAAATATGGCTTCATTTTCTATGACGTTTGATGACCTTGGTTACAGAACATATATCACATGACAGTATAGTTAAACGTAGAAACAAGTGCCAACAAAACGAAGGTTCTAATTGCATACTTTTGCCTTATGCTATTTTATTATGTCTAGACCGTGCACAGACAGTTCACAATTAGGTAGTTATCGATATCATATTGCAGGTGCACAATTAGGTAGTTATCGATATCATCACAGGTTCAGTTGTGTTGGGATATTTAGGATGTATATCGGCAATATATATTTGTCTCACTTAAAACTTTTTATATCCGGTACAGTCTGTAATCCTTAGCATGTACACCGTACAGAGCATAGCCCCTGCTTATATAATAGACATCTATTTATTGGGGCGAACGGCGTGTGTAAATGTTAATATGTCCATGCTATTTTGTAGACAATAAAAAGACGTGTAATATTTCAACATATTATTAAATCAACTTCTTATTTACATTATTGAATGAAATTTGTAATAGGTACCATAATATAATCGCTACATTACAGACCCTAAATGTAACTATTCGATATTTTATGTTATTTATTTCGTCGATATTCGCTACGCATCTATAAATATGTGGAGGTCTGTTGTTGTTATTTTCATATAACCAAATGACAACGTTACGTTATTGTGACGTCTGTATGTTGGCAGATGAAGAACATATCTACTTGTACTGGTCTTGGTGTTTTCAGTATATATAAAAAAATCTGTGTAGTGTGAGACGGACTTGCACATTGAGACATTATAAGATAAATTGTATAATACATAAATTCATATTGATTACACTTTACTAAGAATTCCTGTCTTTCCATTAGAGATAGATTGTAGACTTTAAATGTTGTGAGAATTTCTTAGTTTCGTTCAAATGTTTTTTCAAAATAAGGCGTCATAGCTTAGCTAATTTGGGGGAAGTATTTTTTGGTAATGGGCGTCTATATCTGTCAGGTCTACTTCCAAGCGGTTCCCCATGTGAACCATCGTCTTTAATACCTCGTGAATTCATCACCTGACTTTATTCTCATCCTATCATTTTCCATATATCCATCAAAAGCTAATAGCGTAGGCGGGTGCGTCATGTCATATACATCAATAAGAAACTTAGGTATAATTCTTTATAAAAAGTTTTGATAATTTGTCATCGACTGTACTAAGTAGAAATGTTGTAGTATTTTTCCTGAGTACTCTAGAAGTATGTAGAACTGTACACACCGATAATAAATTATTAATTACCGTGGCATCAGAACTTATCACTTCTCGACACGACACGTTTTGATATTTCACTGGAATTTTCGTTGCACAACATATGTAATACGTATTTATAATTCGTGTTGAGACCCCTAGAAAGGTGAAACGTGAAATTGAGATCGCGTGCAAGGTCAATTTGCGAGGGAGTTTTAAATAGTTCTTGTTATCACTCAGTATCATCAGAATATTAAATAGCGTTTCAATTTTACTATCACCATGGGATGCAATTATCTAATGTTATGAAATTCTATATATTCACTAGTGCCTTATTAAAGTTCCAGTTAACAATATAAAATTCACTCGTTTATAGGTCTAAAAATTATTACAGTCTATTAATATTAAAATAGGAACCGACAAGTCATGTTTGACTCTTATCCCAGTTATAAGAAGAAATGATATTTTATATTGTTATAAATACATTTCAGAGATATTTTCAAATGTCGAAGTCGTGTGTATAACTAAATTAATACAAATTATTTTTGGACTGTATTTTCGTATATTTACGGGGTATAATTGTCTTTTTTTTGTGTTATTTTCTATATTTTCTTGTAACTTTTTGTCAAGTGCAATGATCAGGAATTTTTGGGCCTTCATTATTTTTTTGATGTCCGTACTCCATCTAAGGTTTTACTGAAGAGTTGCCCTTTATTAAATATAGAGGAGGATAGTCACTTAAGGCCTTGTGAAATATAAATTGACATCATAAACTTATTTAATGTCTGAAATCTCTGACACGTTAACGTAAAGACGATTATGTAACAAAATCACAATAAATTCTCGAGTTAACTGTACATTCCTACTTATAACTATACTAAAATTGTAATGTTCACTAAAATAATGTAATAATAATATAAACCAACTGGAACTATAACCTTATAAAATCGAAAGTACCTATTATTTAATAATTTTAAAAATAATGTACCTAAATATTGAAACAATAATTAATAATTAATAATTAATACGAAATTCGACTATACTTAGTTTAACGAGTGTATTTTATGACTAAAGTAACGTGTTTATGACATAGTTATACTTCCGTAAATTGGTAAACGACGTTTCTCCGTGAAAATGATAATAATAATTTATTTTTCATAGAATCAATTAAAGTGAAAAATTGTAGTAAAATGACATCAGATTTTTTCCTTTATATTCATTGTAGGTCATCTGGAAGTGGGTTATAATTTTGATCTATAGTTGATCAGTGATAAAAATGATTTTTGGACATTAATATCTAAATAACCGTTTGAGAATGTTTTGAAATTTGGAACACATATTTAGAAATATATGAACCAAATTTGACAGGTTTGTGTGAAAGAGTTTTTGAGGTCCAGTTCAAAAGTGGCTCCTCGTGTAAATATACACATTATTGATATAAATAATCAACAGTTTATAATTAATGATTTCAGTTAGTAGAGATATTTTCAAATGTCCTATGATTTTTTTGACGGAATTACAAATATAAATTTTTATTTTTTCCTTGGTTGTAAACTGAAATCAACTGGAACTATAACCAAAATCGAAAGTACCATTTTGAATAGTACCTAATTAATAAAGGAATACTTTTAACGTGACAAGTAACGTGTGACATAGTTTACTTCCAACCGTTTCTTGAAAATGATAATAATAATTTATTTTTCATCCAACATTTACATTACCTAATTTCGTAGTTTAGGATAATTGATATAAATAATCAACATAATTAATGATTTCTGTAGCTAACCTATGAACGGAATTATCTAAATTTTATTTTTTCCTAAACTGAAACCTGCATAACGAGTATTAACCTTCACCAGTGAAGGTTGCCACTTGATGCCAAATCAATAATTACCATCGGATAAATTAAACTTAAATTTCTTTCCTCTACTTTATAAGTGATTATTTAAATAACAATTTGATCAATTTAGTTTAATTTTATTATTTTAATAAAATTTAACTAACTTTTGTTGAAGAGTACTTGTGTATTATTTATATTTATATTATATTCTTAAATATTCCTTCCTTATATATACATATATTCCTTAAATATACAGTCCTTACAAGAATTGTTTGTTGCAGTCTTGGGATGCATTTTTCCGCAATGCAACCAATGGTGCGCAACCCGGCGCTGCTTATACATCGCCACCTAACCTAGCGCCATACAACAGAAACGAGGTACCGCTCACTGCTCTCGTGCCGACGTCTGGTGGCATGCCTTCCATTTCTGCAGGTTTGTATATATGTATATTGTCAAATTTTACTTGAAAGAAATTATTCTTTAGCTAAAATATATTAAGTGAGATCATTTAGTATTTCTAATTTCTAATTTATGAGTTGAATTGTATAGTTTTACTTCAATTTTATTACTAGACGATTAGACGTTCAGCTAGCTATTTAATATGTCTCTGTTCAAATTAAAACATCACAAACAGACAATTTGTAACCGATATTTTAATGGAATGGTATAAATATATATATAGAAATAATTGGACTGTTTAGTATATGGTAGGGACGTTGTTTGTGATTATTGTATCATTTTCAGGGTCACCTATCAATGAGAAGATAATTGACGACCATCTTGCTGTTCAAGCTATTATAAGGAGTTACCAGGTGAAAATCGTTCATTTTAACTTTGTTTTTATACCCTTATGACGCTATTCCTTATTGTTTGCACATTTTGTTCAGTCTCACACGATTACCTCGTTGTTAATAGTTTCCCTTGTTATGATTTCCCTGAATTAATAAGGTACATAGTGATTAGGACAAATAAAGTAATATTTTACTTCATAATACCAATCTACTAAAATTCGGGTTGATTATATGCAATAGGTCATAGTATATAACAAGATACGGATAAACTTCTATAAAAATCTATCGCGAAACGAATAATTAAGTGCGCTTTATCATGTTCGTAAATTTTTAATACTGACGAGCCTTCAAAAGGCCTTCATCTCGTGAGAACTGAGAATAAAACTATATTATATATATAAAAATATAACTGGAATATAAATATAATTAGAAACGTTTTATAAACACTTCAGATATTTATTCCAGACATCATACAACAACACAACAGTGGAAATTATAAAAATTAAAGCGCATTTTTAACAGATAAGTCTATCAACTACCATCGTTACTTTTTTACATGAGTTATAAACAAAGCGTCGTATAAAAACTGTATAGGTAACAGCAACTGCATATATAATTGGCATTGCGATTTAAATACTTTTAAGTCCGAATTTTGCTACACGATCCACCGACCATATTATGTTAAAAAAAATTATATTGGATTGCTCTATGACTGGTGTTAAGTATGACCCAAAGTTGGGTAATAGCGACTAGTTGTTGTCGTTGGGTCGTGCTACTTACAATTTCGGCTGAAGTGATGACAAGTGGTGGCGGGTGCGTGACAGGCTCGCGGTCACCTGGCGGCCGATGTGGACCCGCTCGGCATCACGACGGCCAACCTGCCCGAACTGGGCATGCGCGCGCCGAACTCCGAGCTCATCATGAGGAAATATTTCAAATTTGGTACGCAGGACAGAAATGAAAATGTCGAGAAAATTTTTTGGAAGCAATCACTTTCGTAATCGATCATGCTGTTATATTAGTTGAGCGCTGCATTGCGTATCACTGTTGTGTTAATAAGCGATGATATTATAACATACACATACTTACAAATAGCGACAGATACTGGTGTACCGCTATCAGATGAATTTTTATCGTGAGATAATTATTCAGATCTTGTTATGTGAGATAACCTTAAATAATAAAGATATTAATTTAGTTTTTTACACAACTATACAGCACTAACTAACTATACTATAGTATATTAAACTTATATTGTACTATATCACAAGCTAATAAATTTATTACGTATGTATATGCATGTACATAATATCGTCGCTCTCTACAAACATCTAGAGGATTGACTAATTTTTTTGCAGTAGCGTATATTTAAAGCATTGGTAGAAGAAAGCAAAAAACGCTAACATAAGTGTTATACGTTTTACATAATCTCAAAGCCGCTATGAAAACAATTAACAAATCTATGCAGCCACTCAATTATGAATAGTTTTCTTTAAACTTTAATACATTTTATCACTAACAACCAAGTCAAGACCGATCTCGAATAATTGCTAGTCTCAAAATACTCTTTTGTTATATCTTGTTATTCTTGAATTATTATTTAGGTGTGTGGTGATTTTATTATATCTTTTATTTAGCATGCACTTTACTGTTTTAATGAACGTTAAGATTATTCCACGATAATTAGTATTTTAATAAGTTTGTAACGATTTTTAAATTTAATTCTAATGTTTGTAATAGATTTGTGCTCCATGTATAAAGAAAAGGTATTGTTATAATGTCCAACACATTTACTCAGTCATAATTTTGTTGTTTTCCTTAAGTAAACTTGATTTAGATGAGATCTATTTACCTTATTCCATTCTAAGAAGCGATGTATCTATACTGATTGAGTTTATCCATGATTATCAAATTTGATAATCAGATGTACTGTTCTTATGGTAATATTGGGGAATAACCTGAACAGTGTTGTTTACATTTTATCGCGTATTAATTGGTTATGTAATATGAAATAGTCTCGTGGTCACCTCGTGGCGCAACTAGATCCTCTGGGCATCTCTACGGGAGATCCAGCGTCGAGTGGCGAGTGGCACGGTGATTTAAGAGCTTTCGCCAACGAGGCTGTTATTAGACAACACGTTCGCTTTGGTATGGAAGACTCCGATCATGTATTGCGATTGATCGTTAGCGGGCGTCAAATGGTGCCGCACTCAGTGTTGCCGTTAACAATATTTTTTAATATGCCAATAATATGTGGCTATTTTATTAGTTTCGTTTATAATGATTACTAACATTTGGAGAATAAATACTACTTAATTAGTTGCCAATGTATTATAATTATGAACTATAGCTTAAGCAAGTTCAGTTCTCGTAAATGTATTATTTAAAATACTGAGTATCAATTGACGCGTTTCTAATCTTCAATATGCAATACGAGTTTCCAACTTGGTTTAGGGTTAATAGCTTCGGTGTCACTTGCTATTTAAAGGGCAGCACTTTCTTTTTTTAGTATTATTTGAATGGTCTTTTATTTTGAAGGTTTCTATTACTTGACCATTTGCCCCCGGAGGTGTAGTTCTTATTTTTGCTTTTTTAGTTTGGGTGCTTGGTTTGTAGTTTTTATTTCTTCCGTAGAAACTATTTTATTTTATCCACTACGGTGCTTGGACAATCTTCGTAGCAGAATCTTGTAGTTGTAATACATGTATTATTTTAGTAACTAATTTATATGACATTTAAAATAAAAAAAAACTGAATACCCGGCTTTTTATTTTTCGCACTGAATATAAAATATGTACTTATAAAAATTGTGAAAGTAACGAAATAGTTTAAGAAAATACACAAATATTAAGATGATGCACAAATTTTGTTTTTATTACTACGTATATAAATAATTCAGTAGCGTGGAATGTAAGTTTACTATTAAATAATAAATTAATAACTAAGTCCTAACTTTATATCGGTGTTACGAATACTTAGATAAATTTTTATTACGTTGATTAAACTGTTTTTGGATAAGGGAAATGCAAATCTAATTTAATTAATTCTATTATATATTTGAAGCTTGTATTGATTTAGAAAATTGAGACTAGCCATTTGCAAGTAATTTTCGGTCGTTAACATAGAAATAATTAAATATTCTATTGATTAACTAACATTTTAACTAAATTAATATAGACTACTAACATAAAATTTTATTTAGATTAAAAATTAGTTACTAGTAATTTAATTCTGCTTCCTTTTAATTATAGCTATGACATCATATTCCTTTACTAGATTTATTCGCTAGGACTACACAATATTTCATCTTGTCAAATTAAAAAAAAAAACAGTATGATAGCTTACTTTGAAAGGAACATAAAAATATTAGACGTGTATTTCTTGAATAATTAAATATTGAATAGCTTTTCAAGGTTATTTATAAGTCGCCGGTGAGTATGATATCCACGAGAGTCTGAATCCCTTCTATATAAATATAATAATGAACGTGTTAATGAATGTTAACATGCACGCTGTCCGTCTATACCTTTTCGCTTGATTAATAAGTTATTAATGTATATTTTGTATCTAACCAATTATTTTAAATAATGAGTATCTAGGTACATGTGTTTTTTTGGCAAAACTGTTGTTTGATAATTTTATCTGTGTATTGGACTTTACTACCTTATGTGTATTTAATTGATAGGAAATGATTTTTTTTGTTTACTAATATTACTTTTATTTATAATTGGTTATTATTACATAATTTCTTAAAATCTAAGCATATTTTACAGAACTGTGAATAATTTTTCAATTGCTTTTAATAAAATTGAAAACTTGTATAATTTCTTTACACTTTTATGCTTTTTTTTTAATTTTTATACGACACTAGGCTGATTACGTCAAATACATTTTGCATACTAAACAAGTCCGTTGTGAAATAAAAAACAGATCCGTGGACACCATATAGCGAAACTCGACCCCTTGGAAATAGCAAACGATACGACCGGTAAAAACCTGCGGGAGTTGATCCACAACAGCTACAGGTTTGGTAAGGAGACAGGGACTTGGCGCATAAACCCTGGCCGCTCGGTGTTTCCCCATAGGTAGTTATGGCGGCGCAGTGGTCTTTCAATCAGCACTTTATAAGAAGACATAACGTTATTAAATGTCTTTCTTACTTAGCCAGAATACATCTTATCATCATTACCTCCCGACCTATGAATCATGGGTTATAACATTATTTACTTGTATATACAGAACTAGCAAAGAATATACTACCTACTATTGCGTTTTGTAATCGTAATTTAGGGAAGTGCAAAGTGCTAATTGATGAAATTGATATTAATCTAATTTTAAAAGTATAAAAAGGATTCTTTTTGTTTTTTTTAAATATATTTCCTTTATTTTTGTTTTTGTTACATAATTATTTCTGTAACTGGACGCCATAACTACGTAAATACATTGTAGCCATTCATGTGAATGCACAAATTCTTCGGCTCGCACGTCATAGTCCATTTCCATTCCTTGAGTACATGCTACTATTGAGTACTGTCACTTTATATGTTCAATCACAAGTTATCTCTGCATGATATATGGCCTAGATTAATATGTATGCATGGGTTTAAATGTTAAATGGTATGTCCGTCACTTATTACGTTTTGTTTTGTTTCTTATTTTATATTATACATAAACGTTTATTTTACTGCTGTGTGGTAAAGGTGATGTGGTGGAGAGTGAAAATGTTATTTGACATTGAGATGTGTTGAATGTCACGTGTACCTATTTCATCTATGTTGGACTGCGGCCAACAGATTGTTCGTAATATTATTCAACAATCCGTGCTATCTTTAACGTTCTTTGTACCTTCTATTAAATATTTAGAAAAAAATATACTAACATAAAAAATATACTAAAAAAAAAATATACTACTATGTATGGCCGATTTGATTTGAGTAACGGTATAATTTTGATGAGATCTAAGTCGATGTAAATGATACAGTTATGTCTTAAATTATCTCTGATTACACAACACAATATATAGGATGCTAGTAAAGGGATATGATACATCTACTTTAATCTGCTTCTTCTATATCTGCTTTCTGTATTCATTATAATTGAACTGTCGGCTTGCAATGTTTTAGTGATCTCGGTAAACCCTTTTACTTTCTGTTATATAATATCGAACTCTGCAATAGCAGTATATAATTATGGGCATTGACACTGATATTAAGAGGGAATTGTTTCAACTAAGAATTGAATTGAAATGCATTAATTTAAATGCATTTCAATTCACAGGATGCTTTTACAGGAGTGGATTAGTGAAGAGATAACTATAATAAATTTTATAGCTGGTTAATTTTTTTCAGTATCTATAAATAATAAATGTAAAATTACTTAAATATTAATATTATATTTTTTATTGATAATTTTTAGTCCTAAATTCTTATCATAAATATTTTTTTAAATATTATTAATAGTAGGCGCTCGCTCGGAGTCGATATTCAAAGTGAAAGGGTTCTGTGTATTCTTACATTGGTTTAAAGGGAATTTTCGACATTCATACTCTTATAAGCATCTATTTTTTTAGATGAAGCCGACATGGATAGGGTATTCAAACTGCCATCTACCACATTCATTGGCGAAAAAGAAAAAGCTTTACCACTTAAGTAAGTATTTTCGACTTTAATGGAATTTAATCACTGCTGCTTATTATTGTTTATTGTTATACTTATCAATTGGTTATTGTCGCACAAACCGTATTTTTTTTGTCAAGGTAGCTCTTATTACTGAGAAGGTCTTTAATCTCAATTACAATTCAAGGTCTTATTCAGTTCTGTTTTACAAATTTGTACGTAATTGCTTGTTATTACGTTGTCATTCTCTAACTACATTGTCGATGACATTTGTGTCATGAAAGACGCTATTGTTGATTATGGTTATTGAATATGTTTAACATTATTCAGGCGTATTTATTTGTGCAAAAGGAATATTATATGTATTATTTGTTTTTCTATATAAGAAAATAATCGTGTTCTTAAATCGATTGAGATAGATCTTTTTTACGGCTTTACTGTTCTCCTATTTATGACATGATAATTTGAGGACAGATCAAATTCCATGACAGCCGAATTTCAATGAGGATGTTACGGCTATTCGACTAATTGAAAGCAAAAAACGATTTTACGTACACATAAAACATTGAAAAGAATTAGTATTATGACTGAAATTGATATTATTTTATTCAACGATAATGTTTTTTTAATAAAATATTTAATTATCAAATAACAAAACCACACCCATTTCAAATATACGACTAAGTAATACATAAGATCGCAATGGGCACGCCTACCGGTACGTTCCATTCTGCAATTCTACGTCAGTCAGGTATTTTTAAATTTGGATGATAATTCTATGACGCACTTATCCGAATATTTTTGTATGTAACTAGAAGAAATGTGAGCGGTTACGTCTCAGCAAAAACTCGAAACTGTTACGCACCCTTAATAAAATACTACATTAATTCAAAAAATATAAATTTGGCAAACATATCTAAAGTTTTAATTTTCAAAATTAATCTCAAAACAATTTATTCATATAGGATCTTTCGCTCTTCTGTGCACGTCATGTTTTTTTTTAACTTTATCCCTTCTTTAGAAGTCTAGTTACAAAAATTTGCGTTAATGTAGTATTTATTGTATTAAGTATGTGATATATATCATAGAAATTTTAAAAATATTTGACAGCATTATCTTATGTAAAATTTCTAATTATTAACATTATGTTGTATTGGTTCACAAGATTGCCGTAATTAGGCTTATAAATCAACTGATGTAGACACTTGCTGCATAATTTAATAAAATGAAAAATGAGGAGATTTTGTATTAATTTTTATTAAGTTAAGAAGAACATGGCAATTTTCAGAGTATAAGTATGTACTTCTTCCAGACTTTACCTAACTGTACGTATGAACTAATCTTAATAATTAGTAATGAACAAAACAAAACTAAAGGAATAAACTGGAATGTTGCAAGTGCCGGGATGGTCTCTTATTAGAAATTAAACTAAAATGTGCTATTGAAGTAAAGTATTAAGGATAGAAGCTCTTTTAAGATTTACTACGCAAAATTCAAACACAACACAGAGCCTATATAAAAATAGCTAAAATATGTAATATTTGTCGTCTATTATTTTAGGGAAATCTTGAGCCGTTTGGAACAGGCATACTGCAACAACATTGGCATTGAGTTCATGTTTATTAACTCGCTGGAACAGTGCAATTGGATTAGGCAGAGGATGGAGCCCCCCAACGTCACCAAAATGAGCCCTGACCAGAAGAGACTTATTCTTGCACGTCTTACTAGGTCAACTGGGTAAGAAAGACTTTATATCTAATTAAACATAGGTATATGTATACTTATTTTATAACTTTATTATGTTAATAATACGTTTACGTTAGATACGTATAACTATTTGCCATTTATTTAAGATTATTCTTGATTCTATGTAATAATTATGTATATGCGTTTTAGGTCCCAATAAAGTCAAATACAGATGTCTGTTATCCGCTAGAAAGTAATATTTTCTTGTATGCATAACATACCTATTTTACATCTTGAATTTACTAGTGTAAATTTCCGAAATATGGTAATCTATTTCTATTTAGCGGTGATAGAATTTCTTATCCTAGTTCATATAGTATTATCATCACACATACTTACAGAATATCAGCGAACTTATACAGATAAGTACATGTAGAAAAATATGGAAAAATTATTATATTAGTCACATTTTTGTAATGATGATGCAATCAGGTTATAAATTATTTTTATTGATAAACAGTAGCTATTTCATAAAACCACTGCATCAGAATAGGCTTTTGTTGGATTAACGTTGCCATTGATATTATGCGCTAATATAATCGAAAAAAATATCAGTCAAAACTCCTTCAGGAGGTGGCTTTCAGGCCGGCTACAAGCCCCGTCGTGGCTATGAATTGGCCTCTGCACTCACCTGAGTAAAAAAGTATTGAAATCGTAGAAAAGAAATGTATAATACTTGTATTCACATTGAAGGGCCCGCAAATTAGTGCAACCGCACTATACTTTTACATTAATTACTTTTAGATACATTTACATTTTAATTAATTTATATTCTAATACTTCTGTCATCCTTGTCGTACTTTTTGGCCGGTAATACAATGCACAATTCTAATGCATAATGTCGTAGCCACACTGACAAAATCTAAACAAACGAATAATATGCGACAAGTAAGTATAATTATATATACTTGCTTGTTGTATAGTTACTATTTGTGTTCTGCACGGTTATTTTGTACTCCGCTTGAATGCAATGTACGTAAATCGTATATAACATGTTTAAATGTTATTTTTTATAATGCTTATAATTCTGCTATGTAAAAAGTGATTTCACTAGTTCATACCTACATGATGTAACATTGAAATTTTTTTCACCGATATTGAAAGTGCGTCAATAGCTTCATGAATTGATAGATATTTCTAGATATGACATAAGATAGTGTAGTAACTCCTCTATCTATTTATGTTATTAATATTATCTCAGTATTATCAACACAGTAATATATCATCATGGATATAAATATGTACCAAAAAATCTTACAAAATGAAGGCACGAATTTCTTAAACGCACAAATAAAAAATCTATGAATTTGTAGACGATGATTGTTTATATATTCACCATGACATTAATATTCTGTCAAGTATCAACAGTATTACTGATATATCCTATCTAGATATACATAACGTTACAGTTTTTAATCGGCACTGGATGAAAAAATATACTCCCTTAATTAATGAGTATATTCGGATTAATATTTATTTATGTGGAGTACATTATTATCTTTATCCAATTTTAAATCACATCAAATAAATTTCGACAAAATTATATTAAATTATTTATGGGGCAGGTAGTTAATGAAATAGATAGTCACTTGAATAAAAATGTATTAGATATGGAATCATACATTTCATATTAATTTTAGCTTTAGCTATTTTATTGACGTAATATAGTGAAGGAAGGTAGTTGAGATAAACGGCTTAACGTGTCTGCAGTGTGAAGTATTTTATATCCAGAATGGAGACAAATATTTAGAATGTGATTCAAATATTTGATTAGTTGTCTAACTTGCATGAAAACAGCTAACACTGTTGTTTTTTCGAATGTATAAAGTGAACAGATTTTATGTGCCTACTGGCATGACTGTCAACTGTTAATAGAATAACAGATATTAAAATAGCCGCTTTACCTAAATTAATGCTGATTGATATCAAGTAACCCTAATAGATATTATTCTTAGATATTACCCTGCGAGGAAAGTATATTAATCTGTCAATATTATGCTTTCACCTTCAGATGTCATGAACATCTGATTTTGTATGAATAAATTATTAAACTCGATAAATTGGCAAACATATGCCTTTTTATTCCTACAATTTACAAAGTAGACGAAGAAGTCACGTCTTAAAGAAGTTATTAAAACGTACGGTTACGATATAAGTAAGAAAGAAAAAATATTCAGTGCATAATACCAACAATAAACAGAAAAAGGCGATAATATAAATTAAGGACTTGGCATAAATTATAATATAAGGAACTCAGCCTCTACTACAACTTCCCTAATTTTGGCGTAAAATTATTATCGATCTTCATTATGGAAAGCGCGCAGCAGATACTGTTGTACTAATAAGATATGATGCTTAATAAATAATGTTGCTAGAGCTACATAGTGTTAAAGTATTAAATTGTATAAAATCCTTGTTGTTCCCGTCGTGTACCTTAGCATAACTAGTAATATAAAAAAGGTTATATATCATTGTATTACGATAAGGCTGCGGCAAATAATCCTCACTTTATAGCTATACTATCTTTGACGTATGTTTCTGATGATGATGTTTGTTTTAAACTTTTATATTTATTTACTACAGATTCGAGAATTTCTTAGCAAAGAAATGGTCATCCGAAAAGCGTTTCGGTCTCGAAGGTTGTGAAATTCTAATTCCGGCAATGAAACAGGTGATCGACGTCTCCACACGTCTAGGCGTTGAATCTATCATCATGGGAATGCCACACAGAGGTACCTATCACTCATAATAATGGCATTTGTGACACAGATGTTTGTTTCTCTATTGCGCTTAAATGTGCGATTTTTAATAAACATTAAGTAAGTACACATGTAGATCGTAATCTTTAGTTTCAATTTCTCTCTTTTTCTTTTTAGTAAACGATCCATCAAATTTTTAAATGACTCCGAAATAGGAGGTTCTCAATTCGGGCAATGTGTATTACTTAAATAACTCCCATTAATGAACCGATTTGAAACAAATCTTTCTTATTTGAAAGAGTAGTGAGAGTTTTAAAGAGTTGAGAGTACCTATACTTTCAGATTGGTCCGACTTTTTTTTGTATAGTCGATTTTTGTGATTGAAAATTGTTAACCGTTTTCTAAAAATTATGTATTTGTAGTGTATGTTACTTAATATCTTAGATAAAAATGAACAGACTGTTTATTCCTTTTAAAATGTATTCTCATGTTGGGGAATATTAATTTTAATCAAACTTGTATGTTCGTTATATAATTGTTTGATATAATATAGGTACCCATTTTAATCATATAGTAATTGATACATCGCACAAATCTGTTGGAAAACACTTTTGTTTTCGTCTCTAAATTCTCAACATTAGAGGCATTAGGCAAAGACATGTGACTTTCCTAACTCCTTTTAATATGTTAAGCATGATGTGATAGGTGATAGATATGCAATGATGAATGGTTTCACAAATTGTATATGTTATATTTATACCTTCAAACTATTTAATTTAATCTTATATTTTCTAGGTCGTCTAAATGTATTGGCTAATGTTTGCCGTAAACCACTCCATCAGCTGTTTACTCAATTTGCTGGTCTTGAAGCGGAAGATGATGTGAGTATCGTTTATTTGTAACATTTTAATAAGTAAATAACTAAATGAAAGTATATATTCATTAGTAGTATATTCGTTATTGGGCACTTTCGGTGACTTATTTATGTCTGTCAGTCTAGCGGTTATAGCGCCCACCGCATTACTTCCGATGGCGGGAAAAAACATTCGTATTAATGAGTACGATTGTTGTTTGTATTCTATATATCTTTGTATGTATTTACAAAACTTAATAATGTGAATGGAACTAAGCAACGAAACATACAAAGAGTAGGCTCTTTTATAACTATATTTTATCAGTTTCCCAGTCACATGGTATTAAAGTTGTATTGTTATCTATAATGACAGTTCGGTGCGTTATCAATATATTATGATTTACATTGTAACAAGAATATAAGAAACGTAGGATTTTTAATGGATAATAATGGAATGGTGCATTTGGTTTACACTGGCACCAGTGAAGGATGATAGGATGAGCATGGGGTTACGTCAGTTACCCCATCATGACCAATTCACCAGGACGAATTTATCAGCGTAGAATGCCCTTTCCCCTGAAACGTGGGATTGCGGTATAAATGCGGTGAGGCTACGATGTAGTGGGCCGTTGCTATGCGTAAACTATTCGTCTTTGTCATTTTGCCTCGAGGTCAAATTTTTATAGGTACAGGATATCGCAAACGATCATTTCACCTATAATAAACGGCAAATCAGATATAAACAGTTTATATAAGCGGGTCAAATGTCAACTGCAATAATTCTTTAACCTCAGATATGGTCTGTAGACCTGATATGAAAAAATATATTGTTGTCACACTGTCGTTATGTTTTTGTATTTATAGATTAATTAGTCGCTTGTCCCGGATTCCATAGGGTACTCATAATTTAGTGAATGTGCTTAATATGTAGCCGATTGTCATTATGTAATGATGTACATTTTTTTAACGAATTTCTCAAATTAATGTAGTGAAAATCTCATATATAAAATACGAATACTCATCGTATCATATTCATTGTATAATACTTAAGATAAATGAATCTAAATTACATTGTATATTTAATTATTTTATTTACATTTTTGTTGATCTAATTAATTATAAACTTAAAGATCATTACTTTATCTGATGTTCCGTTACTAATTAAGTAGACTGTTATGTTTTATGACTGTAAAGTTATTATTTATTTTATAACGTGAATCGTGAATCCGGGAATGGAATGGAGTGAAGAGCAAATAGATTACCGTGTTATATTGCATGTAGTACTATATGTTGTTATGATAAACTATATAATATAATATAACGTCTAAAAATAAATAATTTAGTCCTAAATATGTTATGTAATGTGTTAATTTCTTATTACAATTCTATTAAAAGGATTATATATCATTGTAATAAAACGAACAGATTTCTGAAAATGCTATCTAATCTATGCGTTATGAAATTAATATATGTGATAGAAATCCGTATTTGATTTTGTTTGTAATAGAATAGGGTAACGTCAATTGCAATTTTGGAAAACGTTGGAAATTGTGTGTGGAAAAAATATTGGATCAAATTTCGTCATAGAAAGAAGAAAACAGACCGTTTACACTTGTTAAGACATGCTTGTATAACGTGGGCGTGGTTGTCGTTGTTATTGCTGAGCTACAAAATTGACGTCACAACGATGTCATAAAATGATAACTAGCTTCAGAGTGTATTTTTCCAATATTCTTATGTAACTCAGTATGATACTATGTAAGTGGCTGTTTAAAGTAAAATTTTAAAGATAGCATATTTAATTTATAAAGTTTCTCCAATGAGGAGATTTTATGATATAAGAGATAGCAGAACGCGTTTGTACTAAATTGTAGTTCAGAGTACAGACACACATTTTGTTTGATAGTATTGTTAACTATCGTGTGACGCACCATTAATTAAAAATGGTAAAGTCAATAATCATGTAACCTGAAACGGAACGTCAGAGGCCAGAGCCAAAGTAATCTATGTGACATTGACAAGTGGATGACGGATGATTGAACGTAGGCAGCGGGAGTTTTGGAACGAAAGTGTTTATATTATTATAAAAACAATTAAGAGATAGGTAATTGTGAATATTGTGGGCATTGAGGGGTTTTCTCTCCATGACCAACCGGCATCACGCCTAAGTCGTCAGGATACTAGTGATTTTAAAAGTATGATGGTATAAAAACAAGGGCATGTATGAAAAAAATGGAAAGAAATAATGATGATAAAACAAAATGTTATACAGAAAATTACCATATGTCTTATGACAAACTTGTGTATAGTGGGCGTGGTGGTAGATATTATTACAATTCTGCTAAATTGACGTCACAGTGATATCAGAAAGATAAGGGGCTTCTGTCTGAATGTGTATTGTTTCCCACACCACGCCTCATATCGATATAGTATCTATAAGTGTTTTGTTATTGTTGGTCTACTACGTCTAAAACGTACTTGTAGGTAATCCCTACTTATAAGTACTTAATATAATAAAGATAAAAGTCATATTTTCCTACATTATAAAGTTATCAATAATAAATCATTCATAAATTATATCTGTTAACTATTGCCAGATATACGTTGAATTAATAAGAAATGAGAGCTTTCCGCGTGATTGTTCTGTTTGTTGTTAAAACAATACCCTCTTGTCCTTGTCTAATCTTATATTTACATTAAACGGGATTGAGTCATTGTTAAACATATTATTAAATAGAATAGTGGGTCAATAATAGCAGTAGCAAAATTTTTACAATAAATTGTAAGGATTTTTATTATGGGGATACTGAGCAAATTACATCTAATATATATTTTTAATAATAATATATTCTCAGGATAAATAACACAGCGCCAAGTTAAGCTAGCTTGTGTATAGATGGCGCTTATGTTGTGGGTACTTGCTAACTGATACAAATACACAAATATATTTTTTATATTAGAAATAGAAAATACCCTGACCGATACAAACAATCATATCATACTCATGAATACAAATGTTTGTGCTGTGCGAGGAATCGAACCTGCTACCATCGTAAGTAAGGCGGTGTGCTAAACCGCTAGACCACCGACTACCGTCATTTTTATCACCAAAGTGCCTATGTGGTCGTCAATATTTTAAAAATTTAATGTTACCGGTCTTAGTTGAGATTGCAATAATTGTAAATTGTATAAAAAATAAAATAAACTAATAAAATAGATTTGCTTCATCTATAGATATCACTTTTTTACCTTTTGATCTCCATTTCAGGGATCTGGTGACGTCAAATATCATTTGGGTACATACATCGAGCGTTTGAACCGAGTAACAAACAAGAACATTAGGCTGGCTGTTTGCGCTAACCCATCCCACTTGGAAGCTGTCGACCCGGTTGTGCAAGGCAAGACAAGGGCTGAGCAGTTCTACAGGGGTGACAATGAGGGCAAGAAGGTACGTTATCAATGACCTGACATTGTTATATTTGTATATTGATAGTAGGCATAATAATGTAGATAGCTTGATGTGCCATTTGGGTATAATGAAATTAAACAAAAGTTATCTTCGTTTATCGAATATAAACAAGGCGGAAAATTAAACGATTCTTATCAAGTTTGTATAAAAATTAACCTTTAGCTCTACTGTTACTTAATGCCATTTTACTACTGAAACCAGGACTCACTATTATTCTAAAAAAAGTCAAGATTATTTTTCAAGTCAATGTGACTGGAAAAAAGGTGTAATGTGTATACCTAATGGGAAATTGTAACCAAAATAAGAAAAAAAGGACAATACTATGTAAGATATAAAGAGAGTATTTATTATTTTACTTATATGATTAAGTACAATTTCAATACTGAACAAATATATTAACATAGCAACGTCGTATTAGGTTATGTCTATCCTTCTTCACGGCGACGCTGCCTTTGCGGGTCAAGGCGTGGTGTTTGAGACAATGCACTTGTCGGACCTTCCCGAGTACACAACACACGGCACCATTCACATCGTGGCAAACAACCAGATCGGATTCACAACTGATCCCAGGCATTCCCGCTCATCTGCCTACTGCACAGGTAATTTAACAGTGTTATAAGTGGATATCATTATTCATATTTTAAAATTCTTATTCTCTGTTCGTTAGGTCTCTATATTGCATAACTTCAATTCTCCCATGGAATTCGGAAACAAATTAATTTTTCAAAAATAAGTATTACTTTTATATAAGACTACAGCACTCATGTGCTGAACATGCTTTGCAAACATGCGTTTGCAAAACGCTCGGATTTAAACTTTGAACGTTTTGATATGAGCTAAAATCCGGCAAAATGCATATGTTTACTTAAACTTTAATACATGTTCAGAGGTCAAATACTCATGCCACACATCGCGATTTTATAGGTACGTGTGTATTTATAACTGTATTGGGCCGGCTTTAAGTAGCGCATTATATCAATAAAAAAATTTATGTGTATAGATGTGGCGCGCGTGGTGAATGCCCCAATCTTCCACGTCAACAGCGACAATCCCGAGGCAGTCATGCACGTATGCAACGTGGCCGCTGAATGGCGTGCTACCTTCCACAAGGATGTCGTCATCGACATCGTCAGCTACCGCCGCAACGGTCACAACGAGGTGGACGAACCTATGTTCACTCAGCCCCTCATGTACCAGAAGATCCGCAAGACTAAACCTGGTATGTAAAATTATTGTTACAAATAAACATTCACCAGAACGAAATTTGATACAAATTTATGATATAAATTTCGAAACTGTATCAGCCTATGGAATAAAAAAGAAATCATTAACATATAATTATTATAATTTTAGTCTTGGAGAAATATGCTGACCAACTGATCGCCGAAGGAGTTGTTACCGCTGAAGAAGTGAAGGATGTCAAAGATAAATACGATAAAATTTGCGAGGATGCATACAACCAGGCTAAGCAGGAAACACATATTAAATACAAGGACTGGCTCGACTCACCGTGGTCTGGCTTCTTTGAGGGCAAAGACCCATTGAAGGTACCTTTTGTAATTCTTATTTGTATCTAGCTTTTAAAAAAATATGTATATTAAATTTACAGATATTACTCAGAGGATTGGTTTTCAACCGACTGGCTAATCTCTGTACGAGAGATGTATGCTATATATACATATAAATACGACAAAAATTATTAGAAAAAAAAATATATATTATGTAAACATGTTGCTTAACTTATATATAGTATATTTAGACATAGCACATTAATAATAAAAAAATGTCCTTTCGCAGTTATTCGTTCGGCTTTGTTGTGTGATCATTTATTTTTTATGTGTCTAGATGTCTCCTACTGGTGTCGTAGAGGAAACCCTGGTCCATATCGGAAAACGTTTTTCATCGCCACCCCCGAACGCTGCCGAGTTCGAAGTACACAAAGGTTTATTGCGTATTCTTAAATCACGAATGGAGATGGTTGAGAATCGCACCGTGGACTGGGCTTTGGGGGAAGCTATGGCGTTTGGATCGCTTCTCAAGGAAGGAATTCACGTCAGGCTGTCTGGTGAGGATGTCGAGAGAGGAACATTCTCTCACAGGTAAATATTTCTTCATAGATAGGATAAAATTGAAAAGTATATTTGTATATCATGTTACAGATATTTTTATGTACATTAGTGACTACAAATGAATGGAAATTCAACCCATTGAATGCTTTTCAATGATCTCATAATAACTTTGTTATCATTAGATTTTTTTCGTATATAATCGTAATCATTGTATTCTATTGTTAATTAGACATCACGTTCTTCATCATCAAAAAGTCGACAAGGCGACTTACTGCCCACTGGCTCACCTGTACCCAGATCAGGCTCCATACACTGTTTGTAACAGCTCACTTTCTGAATACGGTGGGTAAATTTTGTTGTTCTTCAGTCAAGTAACACAATAAATTTTCATTTAGGTAAAGATTCAGTTTCTGTTCCTAATAAATAATTTGGGTACAAACATTGTATATAATTTGTTTTAAATACTGCCCAAGTTACTTATTGACCTGTGTAGCTTTTTGTTGTGAAATATTATGTTAAATCGAGTCTTTTTGTTCTAAATCATATTAGAAAGAAAATCTTTGTAATATAGTTTCTGACAAATAAATTTATAATCCATACACACTCTTAATGTGCAGTCGTACATTTTATATTTGTTTAGTTTTTAATGTCCTAGTAATTATTTTTAATACAAGTAATATTTGTTGTGTAGGCGTACTGGGCTTTGAAGTGGGTTACTCTGTGACCAACCCGAATGCTCTTGTGCTGTGGGAGGCGCAGTTTGGCGATTTCAACAATGTGGCGCAGTGTATCATCGATCAGTTCATCTCGAGCGGGCAGGCCAAATGGGTGCGCCAGTCTGGCATCGTACTGCTGCAACCGCACGGCATGGAGGGCATGGTAAGTATGCTAAATCTTATAAGTTTCGCTGTTTCTTACACTACACTTCAGTTTAAGATTAAAAAAAGTCTAAAATATAAGAATAATTGTTTCTTAATTATCAGAGATATCTATAAGGGATGATACACCCGCTTGCGGTAACTGTATATGCTGGCGGAGCTCCAGTTGAGGATTATAAAATGAGTATGAGATCAGCCCATTGTGGCAAATTCACTAGGAATTTAACTTGATGGTTTCCGGGCGAAACCGCGTGGAGGTCGATCTGACTATAGTCCTGAGTATATCGCTAGTATTGGAATGATGGAGGGGTTTTTCGGATGATAATTTTACCATGAATTTATCACGATAGTATCCATGGGGAACCATATGGAGGTCAACCTGACTTGGTACATTGCTAACATTGGGGTTATTAGTCCACAGTCCCCTAACAATCCCCTTCCCCAATATTAGGGGTTTCGTCATCTGTTTCACATAGGGAGGATAGATTTCTCTAAAGTTAACATAAGGGTTTGTATATTCTATCAGCTTGTCTATTTAACCCATCAATAACAATATTGTTTGTTACAGGGCCCTGAACATTCTTGTGCTCGCCTGGAGAGATTCTTGCAAATGAGCTCCGACGACCCAGATTACATGCCACCTGAGAGCCCCGACTATGAAGGTCAGTTCAGTTACCTTAGTTTATGTAAAAGGCATATTCCTGCCAAGGTATAATTATTCTTTCAACAAGGTATGTCAGCATTTTGTCTTATGAATTAACTACTAGCATTGTGTTTTGAGTTGTTGAAATATTAGTAGCCCTTTAATAATATTACCATGGTAAATATATAATATGGTAAAATGTAAACAACAACAAATGTAAGCAATCATAAAAGTTATGTAAAATATTGTTGAAATGTTAAATTTATTATTGCAGTGTATTTTACAATGTTCTCCAAAAATCTAATATTGATTTAATATTATTTTTCTATCAGTGCGTCAATTGCATGACTGCAACTGGATCGTGGCGAATTGCTCGACTCCCGCGTCCTACTTCCATATCATGCGCCGACAAATCGCGTTGCCATTCCGCAAGCCACTTATCCTGATGACGCCCAAATCGCTCCTACGTCACCCCGAATGTAAATCATCATTCGACGATATGAATGAAGGCACCTCCTTCAGAAGGTATGCATATATAGATTATTAAAATTAGATGTTTATTTTACTCTATGCGGTGATAGGTTAGGAATGGAGTGTGTCACTACTCCTTTGCACGATTATGGGATTATTGTTGAGTTAACAATGTACATGTTTATAGATATATAGAATGCAAAAGATGGAAATCTCGTAAAATCTTATACAAAGCTTGTTAGATAGTGCAGTAATATTAGACTTAAATCTTAATTTTTGTAATGCAATATAAAATGTTTATTATAACATTGTATACAAAAATATCGTTATAGTCTATTATAAAAAATATTGTTAATTTTATACAGTGTAGATTGATTCTAATATTGTTTTTTTAACTCAGGGTGATCCCAGAGGAAGGTCCAGCATCCCAGAATCCACAGAAGGTCCGCAAACTGGCCTTCTGCTCGGGCCGCGTCTACTATGACTTGCTTAAGGAACGCCGCGATAGAGGACTGGAAGGGGACATCGCTATTGCCAGGTTCGTTTGTGACATTTTAATTCTAAGTTAAAACAAATAAAAGACAAGTATAAAACTTGATATGCTTATATTTTGTTTATGTAATAATTTGTAATAACAATGCTATAAAGTTTAATTTGAACATTTAATGAAAATTGTGTAAAGAGATTGTATCATGAGCACGACTATACGCTTTCTTCTTTTCTTGCAGATTTAGGTTCGGATAACAGTATATTGTATATAAAGATTTTTTGGGCGTATCAGATATTATCTTTAAGCGTTTTTACATACGTAAGACAAAGCTGTATTATGTATGTAGTATATTTATTAAACAAAACAATTAAAGAATTATTCTATCACATAATAGATTGGAGCAGATCTCACCGTTCCCGTATGATCTGATCAAGGCGGAAGTAGCTAAGTATCCTAATGCTCAGCTAGTGTGGAGCCAAGAGGAGCACAAGAACATGGGATCATGGAGCTACATCGAACCACGTTTCCGCACCCTCTTGCAAAACCAGAAACAACTCAGGTGAGTGCTTGAGAAAGGAGTTGATATAAAAATAATTGTAGTCTGCATATATCAAGAATACCTACTCTCAAATTAAGCAGAACATTTACTGAGGGTGTTAGACACAAGTGTTTTCTAAATACAATAGTATAATAAATACAAATTGTTCAAACCAGTAGCAACAGATAATGATATAACAAATGTAAATGTTTAAGATTGTACGAAAATCGAACCCACGGCCGCGGATATGAGGTAGTGTTAGACTACTACAATAGGCGTTATATTTTAATTATGTTTTTCTTATTCAAAGTATTAGTATTAGAATTATTATTACTATTATATTAGTAGTTGGAGTATTTTAAGATTAATGTGACTCTATTTACTTTTAGAGAGGTGATTTGTTTTTGGTTTTTATAAAGGGCAGCATTTGTCTTGTTTTATACTGTAGCTACACTCAAATATCATTTACAATAAGTTCGGGTCTTTAAAGCTATTACATAAATGTATTTAATTGATATTGTTAAAAGAACGGATACATAGAACAGTAAAGAAAAATGTATTTGTTTCTATATTCAATAACACATTTTTGTATTAGATGTTTAACGTAAAATGTATGGTGTAGTAGATCAAATTATATGTTTAACTTAAAAAATAATGTAGTTCTCATCAATCGGAACATATATCTTTTATACTCGCATGGAGTTCTGCATGTACAATATTATATACATCTATACTACTACGAGGTCATTACAAAATCGGACAACTTTTAAATGTGTATTGCGTTGCCTAACATTCGTTATGCCATAACCTAACTGGCTATTGGTTGCAGGGCAAAGTCCCAATCACAAGGTTGGTTTAGTCAACTTTTCGGCAGTGGCCAGCAGTCTGCCCCACAAACTCAATCGGATACTGAAACAGTCCCACGCACTATTAGGTGAGACAATGGCATAATATCCAAATATGATATTATGTCCTATGATTGCAGTAAATTGCATTATGTGTAATGTTCCTATGTACGTATAACATTGCTCTAACAATCTCTGATACCGTTATGATAATACAGTAACAGTATCAGAGCCTGTTTAAGAAAAAATACTGGAATGTTAGCATAGGCATAGATGGATATTCTTTATTGAAATGAACCAAATCAGTATGGACTGCCATTTACATTTTGCTCGTTTTGTTATTTATGTAAATAACATATCAAAAATAATATATTTCATGCCTATTTTGTTATTTTGTTTTATATATGTATAAATGTTAATTTTCGTTTCGTCAGTTAGACTTGTACTGACAGAGAGAGACAGAGTAATATTAGAATTTGATTTCTATATCACCAATAGCCAGTTAGTCAGATATCACATTCTTATACGGATTATTATTTACAAGAAACGCGTACTAAATTGCATGTCCAATTGTTAAATTTGTTTAAATCCGTGGTACTGATATTTATGGGTATATGGTTACCACTTCATCATCAGATTGCTCAACAAGATCGATATACAGGTTACCATTCCTGTTGGGTAAAATATGAGATGGTTTTTGAATATGGCCCAAAATAATTTTCATACATTAATATCTATTAATCTAATGTTACATCATTTATTTATTTTTCCGCTAATGCACTTATTTTTGCTTTAATATTATCACTTTATTCAATATCTAAAAGATTTTGTTAAACAAATTGTGTTTTGATACACATTACGGTGATAATATATTACAAATAAAATGTTCAAATATTACTGTTAAATACTTTTGTTACAACTGCATTGTGCTTTCAATGTAATTATCTTTTATCGAACACAGATTATGTTTCATATGGGAATTTATTATAATATCTATAAATTTCTTTGCACTAATGGTTGAAATACATACATTTTTATTATACTGACATTAATATACACAATAGGTTGATTACTTAACATTCAACTTAAACAAGTTTAGTAATACGACAAAATTCGGTGGTTTCATTTAATATAAATAAACATTACTTCTAACCACATATACTTTGGTATTGAGTAATTAACTAGCATTATTTACACATATAATGATAAATAATCTCATATATTTTCATTTTTACCATTAGAAATGAAAATATAACATTCAAATTATCCACAAAAGTGAAGAGGACCTAAATGATACCACTGTACTTATCTCGTCTCAGAAAAATGGCTCTCGTAAACAAATGACTTCAGAACTAAAAAAACGATCTTTTCAAAATCACAATTAATTCGGCACTAAATAGAGTTTGTCAGCACCAGCCTCCTAAATAATATTATTGTTAGTGACTGAGATATATAACAGGTGACTGAAATCTATGTTCGTTTTGCCTTTTAGCTACAACGGTAGAGCAACTGCTGCATCTCCGGCTACTGGTTCGAAGGCGGCCCACAACAAGGAATTGAAAAATCTTCTCGACGAATTCTGCGTATTATAAGCGACTTCACTACACATACGAACACTTGGCTTCGACACGACTCGCCGATGTCTAGTTTAGTAATCCAATATGCCATAGAGTATAAACATATTTACCTAAATCACCAGTAGGTACAATCCAAACTCGAAACGTAATTTATCCTTACATTAGTTTTTATTGAAATTGTAATGTTATTCTCTTCTACATAACTGTCAGTATTTGTTGTAATTCTCCTCACGATTAGCTAGTGTAGTTAGATAAATTCTAATTTATTTATTTAATGTAGCATAATATGTGGTGTAGTTTGTAAACATTATTTATTTTGGTACGTAAAGCCAATGTCTGTTTAATTTTCATACTTCAAAGTAAGTGGCTATGTGCAAAGTGGTATAATTTATTTTTAACATAGAGCAGAGTCATTTACGCTTGTTATTTTTGTGTAAATAAATATTATACATTTATTTTTTTATTTCATTAATTACATTTTCTATTGTATTTCTTGACGGGTATAATGTGGAGCTAATTCTTTGGGGGGCTACTAATTGGTTGTTCTTACATATATGCCATGCTATGTTTGGTATATATGAACAGGTCGTCTCTCCGTAAAGATATTGCTCTTTTCGTACCATTTTACTAGTCTCTAAGTAATTATTTAGCATCAGTAAGTAACACGACGTCGTCGTTAATAACCATATTATTCCAGCACAGCAATGGTAATAGTTCTGAATTTATTTATTTTGTAGTGTAAAATGTATTACGTTATATTTTTCATTAATTTATTTTCTTAGTTGCGAAATAAAAGGGCTTTCTTTTATTTTTGAAACCTTTCGCACTAATGATATGAAAGGTTAAAAAATAGCCAAATAAGCATAATCCAATTATGGTTTTTGGAGAAGGTTATTCAGTTTTATGAATTTGAACATTGTCAAATAACTTGAAAATTAATTTAATACTACTACTCAACATGCGTAGTAACGATTTTAAATAGAAAAAGACTACTATTATTTCTTATTGCTTCATTTTTTGGCGTAAAGAAATATATTTTTCATTTATTTTTTGTTGTTGGTTATTGTGACGACGTTCGCTCTATCTTCTCTCGCGGATGCAGATCGCAATCTTTAAATCTAAATAGTAATAATACGTGTTAAAGAATTTTCGTGAGGCTGTTAGACATCTGTTATAAATTTGTTATCGTACTATATTGCACTAAGTAGTTGTTTACATTGACATTCGTGTAACGATATTATATATGAGATATTATTAGATAGTATTAAAAATTACAGCATAGTAAATTGCACTGTAGATCGTAACGTACGTTGGTAACAAATTATAGTAGCTAACGATTTATTTGTTGTCTATGGTCGTTATGTTTTGCATCCGACCGTCCCTATATAGATTTAGTTCGCTCATAGTTACCGCCGTTCTGAACGGCTCGTGTAAGGAATAACACCAAGGCCCATCGCTTTGTATAAACCAACGCATATTGTCTACGAGTTTGTTGTGACCTAATCTGTATGTAGAATTTAATATCCTCTTCGTAAGTAGAAACGGCTGTTTACAATTATTGTACACTGTTTCTTATTGTGGTTGAAAGGCCGCACATGCAGGAATGTCCTTGCACTTGTTAAATTTTGTGGGTTTTGATTTTTACCATTTTACATAAATTAATTCGTTGTTGTTAATTACAGTAAAATTTAACGAAATTATATTTCAAGTATATCTAAAAGTATTTGTAGGAAGTATATCTAATACGAACATAAATGAACACGTATTTTTTTGCAGTAGTCGTATGACGAGTCTTTAAGGTTAGTTTAAAATTGTTTTGTACGATTACTGCGACCAGTGATTTTATATTTATTGTGTACCATTCTAGCATCATTTTAGTATTTATTATAGAGTTGAAAATAATGTGTAAAATATTAAAAATAAAAATCTTACAAAATGTGGCAACATATTTTGTCGTTTCAATTCTTCGCAAGGTTAAATTCTCAATTCTATTGTTCATTTGATTTTGTCGCTAATAATAAATATGTTTGTGTATTTGTAAAAATATTTAACTTTGTAAAGCTATTTGCATATATAATCCACTGTTTTATCATTTAAATGTATTATTTTGATGTTAGCATATTTTGGATTACAGCTCAGAAAGTTTGGAGAAATGAATGTCAAAGGGAATTGAATGTCAGGTTTATTTGAGAGGCAGTAACTGAGCTAATTTAATACTGCGTTAGTTTCAACTATTAAATTTACAATACAATATACAATAAAATTGTTTGTTTCAATTATTATCTATTATACTTTTTTCCTTGTTTTCTATTTTATAGATATACATTTTATATATATAATAAACTATTGCAATGATGATAATTATTGCATTCTTATAATATAGAGATAAAATCCTGTACTAATCCATTTAATTAACGTATTTAATAGTTAGCTTTAGGTACGAAGATTTCGAGAAGATTGGAGCCCTATACATATGTATACTTGTTTATCGTTCCTATAATTTATATGTATAATGATATCAAAGATCACGTAATTAATATTGTTTAAATGTTAATTATTTTAGATAATATTTATTTTAACGAGAAGCTTAATAGATCAGGGCGCCCTTGACGGGCGTAGTTGACACGGCTCACCGCACTCTTGGACCACTTTCAAGATTCTTATCTATTGCTAGTCTCATTTCAGCTCACAAAGCGTTCCCGTCGTTCTATTTATAAACCGCTTGGCTAGCGACGACGCGCAGGCCACACGAAAAGGTGCGAAGATTAAAGATCTTATCAGTGACAAGTGCGTTTTGCACGTCACGCTAGCGACACGAAAGACACTCTTGTTTGTATATGCTGCGTATTCTACTCCATTTTACTTTTTTTAGATTCAGGCACCGATATCACAAGCATGCAAATGCTTGACGAGGGGCATTCTCGCCTATATAGAACGTATACAGAGATATAAATAGAATTGCATATATTTATAAGATAACAAGCTTCAAGACTAAAGAACTTATTTTAATAGTGCGACTTATATAAAATTTGGTATAATGATAGTAGTAGGTATAGAGATAGTGACAGAGCTTGAGAAAAGATGTAAGCTATAATTTAAAAAGATATGTATGTAATTTTGACGAAATAATATGTATATAAATAACATAATATATATTATTAAAATAATATATATATGTATTAGTATATATATATATCGTACAGTTTATTCAGCGCTGTCGCTGTCAGTCTTGTATTCAGATGACTTTAAAACTACGCAACGGATTTTTGTTAGATTTACTTGACATTTATCATTATACTAGCTACTCGATTCCCGGCCTCGCACGGGTTTATATTATAATATAAACCCTCTTGAATCAGTCTATGTATTTAAAAATAATGATAAATGTGCGTAGTTTTAAAGATTTAAGAATACATAGGAACAGACAGCGACAGCGGCTTTGTTTTATAACTGTAATAATGATATATATAGTATAATATATATATAGGTATTTTGTAAGTCTAACATTGTAATAGATATTTTCAAGAAATAGTTATCCTAGTTGTCTTCACAGAGGGACAACTTAAATATCAATTTGATGTCTTAAGTTAAAACGAGTTTCAAAGGTAGAATTGAGACATACATGAACATATATGTGGAAAAACAGTAAACGTCACAAAGAGATTTCGCTTAGAACTAAAATATGATTGTGAAGATTGCAGAAGTATCAGAGGACTTTGTTGTTGTTTTAGAATCGGAGGCTTAACTCCTTTGTTTTCTAAAATCTCTCTGAGCCCGTTTTAATACTTTGCAATGCCAATACACCAAATATGGTGTGTCTACTGGTCTAACATGACTGCAAAGGAGAAGTTTTTTATATAAATTTCTAGTTCGGTATATTAAATTTTAATGCATAGCCGAAATATAACAACCATTCACACACTGCCATCTAGTTCCAAGCTAAGCAGAGCTTGTGTTATGGGTAGATACTAGATCACTGATACATTTTATTTTGTAAATACATATATAATACATATCGAAAATACTCAGATCGGCTAAACCACTAGACCACCTAGGCCGTCAATGTATGCTTATATGTATGTTTATAATTAACAGCTACAGGCTTATATATATATTTGCCAAAATGAATATTAATTAGGTATCTTTAATATCATATCTTGCTACTTAAAGATTATACCTTTAATGGTGTACCTACTTCTCTATGAACCAACTTATATATTATATATATGTTATAAATAATATACATATATAAAGTACAATATAATGTATGTGCCTCAACCTACGAGTTGATTGTAATATGATATTATTAAGATGAACGTACTCGTATGGAAGGTATTGTTAGTCTATTATTTCTATTTCTATTTACTTATATTATTTATATAAAAATAATAGTCCATTATACATATATCTTAACCACTAGCATTACATATTTTATAACACTATCGCACCTACATTGAAATGAGTAATTTCCCGTAGTCTTCCTTCATGAAGGTGGACAGCAAGTTAGTGGGAACTCAGGCCACAAACGCTTTGAAGGTCGCATTCTGACTCATGGTACGTCAGGATACTCCAAGAGTAACTTGGCATTGCAGTTGACGTACCTACCCGCAGTATGCGTCGGAATGTAGTCGACAGTAACCTGTTTCTTGGTGCTGTAGTGTACCCGGGACCAGCTACAATGCCATGGTCGGCAAGAGTTTGGGCCAAGGATCCTGATGATCCTCTCTGTGTACTTCTTTTTTTATTTAAATCATCATTTTTTTAACTTTGACTGCAAAATTAATAAATATTCGGAACGAAATAGAAAAATAGATGCAACATCATATTTGGCCGTTATCCGTTAGGCAATGAGGGTAACAGGATATCGTTGACATTCATAGCTATAGTTTAACAACAAAGGATAAATAATGTCAGGGTAGGAGGGTTCCAGTTTCCTTTGTTCTAATTTGTGCGTAATGACATGTTATTATGTGGTGACATTAGCATAGGTATTTATCCATCAAAATTTAGGTACTGAAATGGGATTCTTGAAAAGTTTTACTTAAATGTGTAGGTAAGTTTTATTATTTATAGGTTGGTTTTTATATTGTTCAATTTTACGCCAATTGCAATCATTTTTAATTAGGGTTATAATAATAAGCGAAGCCGATGCAGGTAGGCGTGGAGTGGTCAAATACTCAGGAATGAAACAATGATTGAAGTTTACAGCTGTCCTTGTCGCTTGCGCATATATAGTGTGAGGATAGTGGACGCGTTCGCCTGCGGTGCGAGGGAAGTAGGGTTCATGATTTCTCGAGCTTTTCAATTTCTCGAGTCTCGAGAATTCTCGAGGTCAATTTCTCGGGTTGTCGAGAAATTTACATTTACGTACGTTTTCTCATATTATTTGGTTCCAATAACGTCAAAAAATTCAGTGGTTTTCCTCTCAAATAAAAGTATCAAATTAAACTTTTATTGAGTATATTTAAAAACATTAATATTATGAATATTTTTTTTTTAAATAGAGAAATAATATTAGGTCCTTACATATGAAATTGGCGTTTTGTCGTACTGGCCACTTTGATCTCAAATATCTCCTCTTTGGTTAGGAATTCCATTTCCAAATTTATACAGCTATTCACTTTGGATCACTCACAGCATACAAAATGAAAAAATTAAAATATCGCGTTATTTACGAGTACGAGTTCCGCTGTGGCACCAGTGCTACACGGTGCTAAACGGCTCGTAGTATTAATGATGTGTATAGCAGTGGTCTCGTGCATTTTTAGTTCCAACGTTTTCGTTCTGGAAATTTCGACCTGCAAAGCAATCTCTGTGGGCGGCCGGAATCCAAGGTTGATAATGAAGAATTGAGGACTATTGTGGAAGCGGATCCATCGCAAACCCGTCCGAGTTAGCTGCAGGCTGCGGTGTTAGTGACAAAACTGTTTTAATCATTTAGCAAATTGGGAAGGTGAAAAAGCTTGAAAAGTAGGTCCTTCAAGAATTCAATGGAGTAAATCGACAAACGCGCGTAGCCTGCTGTGTTACATTAATCAACCGGCATAATAATGAAGGGATTTTAATAATCAAATCACTTCCTGTGATGGAAAGTGGATCTTGTACGATAATCGGAAATGCTCATTGCAATGGCTAAACCCTGGCGAACCAACCAAATCCTGCCCCAAGCGAAAATTGGCTCAAAAAATGTTACTTGTGAACGTTTGGTGGACTACTTCCGGTGTTGTCCACTTCAGCTTTCTTAAATCTGGCCAGACGATTACGGCAAATGTGTATTGTCAGCGATTGAGAAACCATGATGGAAAAGCTAGCTGCTAAACAACCGAGGCTGGTCAATCGCCAAGAACGCTTGACCACATACTGCACAACAGACAGTTGCTAAATTAGAAGAGCTTCAATTGGAAAAATTACTATTTTTTTCGAATTTTGGATAACTTCTTGCAAGGGAAAAAATTAAACTCCGATGGGGCAGTCCAAAGTGCAAAAACAAAAGGCAAAGTGCATAAATAGAAATGGTACATACTTTGATTAAATAAATATATATTTTGAAAATAAATACTTCAGGTTATTCCCTTACAAAACGCCAATTTAAATTTTTTAGAACCTAATTATTCAGACTTATATTTATAATGACAGCACCATTTTTGGCTGCTTATTTAGAAAAAAAAACAACGTAAACAAAAATAGTTTCTACAAAATAAAAAAATAACATGAAAGAAAACAAAAACGTTAATATCTTAAATTATTGCGCCGCC